AATGTATCAGTAAATATAAATTATAGTTTTTGTAAATTAAACAAAATTTAAAAAGAAACTTAGTATTTTAGGAGGTTCATGATCGGTCAAAATAATTTGTACTTGATATAGTACGTTAGGCATTTGTTACCCAAAAAATTGTATGAAATTTGTATTAGGTATGAAATTAGCGTTTTTTTTTTCTTCAATGTTCATTACTATGTAATTTCTTTCATAGTATAGCTATGTCCATCATTCTTTTATTATTTGAAATTTGACTTCAAGAGCTTACTTTTACGTATAAAATGCTAAATTTAATTTGATTTTTTTAATTTGAATTTGATTTTCAAAGACAGCTCGTCCTAATTGTCGTCCGTTTCCATTAAACAAAAATAAATATATTTTTATACAGATACCAATTTTAAAAAAATGTTTTAGTTTTTTTTATAGCTTAATGTTGTTTCAATCTACCTACAAAATTTCATAATGTTTGACTTTATGGCTTTTTAAAAAATCCCAAAAATATTAGTATGAAAAAAATAATTTTGGTGAAATTCTCCATATAAAACGCTAAGGCCAAATAATTTTGTCTTAAAGACTGAATTTTATAATTATTGCTTACTTAAGGGACGTTTAGAACAAAAAATGATATATTTTTAATACATAAATAAAACCTTTATCTTAATCATATTGTTTTTTACACTGTATAAAAAGCCTAACGTACTTACAGGAGTACAAATTATTTTCAATATTTTTCTTTTAAAACAGGTGCTAAAGATGCTTAACTTACAGTAAAAAATACAAAACATAAGGTAACACTTAAAAAACTATGTAAAACCGTCAATATTTTATCTCGGTCTGAAGCACATTTCTTAGTTTGTACTTGGTATAGTACATCCGGCAGATATGAATACTGCTGTTGAAAAAACACAGGACTTACGAGGTTAAAATTGCTTTCTCTTCCAGTAGGACTAAAGACATCCTTATTACAAAAAGTTAAACTCTAGTTAGGAGTCAGGAAATCCCTGGATGTCATCTGCTACCAACGGGTTATTATGAAAATCATTGGGGGAGGCCTATGTTCAGCAGTGGACGTCCTATGGCTGAAATGATGATGAAACTCTAGTTAAACTTTGGTTTGAATTGACATTAAGTAAGACAGGGTCATCCTAGGTGCAACCCAGCCCATAAACATGTTATTTTATGGACAGAAATGTATGAATATTGAACTAAAACCAAATTAATTCAAACTTAACAAACTAGACTGAAAGTTATCAATTTAATCTTTCACTGATAATTATTTTTAATTGATGAGCTCACTCATTTATCAAATGAGTGTTATGGGTCATTCCATGACAAATGTTACCGAGGGTGAAAAACTAAATATGTTCTTTTCGCATTAAATCTGATGAATTTTGAAAGTAGACATTCCAAATTATAATGTGCAACAAAAAAAATCTGAAAGAAACAAGTAATTTTTAAGTTATTAGTCTTCAAAGTCTATACTTAAGTCAACTGTCTGAATGATAATTTTCTCTCTAATTATTGGTAATACAATTTAAAAAAAACTATCAATCTGTGAAACGTTTTGCCACTATATGATTCGAGGGTATTTATCATAGTATTGGTAGATAGCGTCATAGTCCCAAAAAAATTGATGATCATCAAGTTTTAAGTGTGTTTTCTTGTTACTTCGGCGATGTAACACCCGAAACAGAAAAACAGGTATTTGTTTTATTATTGTACCTTACACATAGATTAGGGTAACAATATTTGGTAAAAGTAAGGTCATGGTAGTAATGATTTCAAATACTAACTAATATCTGAGCATGATACTAATTTAGTATGTTTCTTTCTTGATTAAAAACTGTAACACCCGAAACGTTTCGGGCATTACATTTTTATTTATATGTCGATAATGTGTGTATATTGCTTGGAGAAGTAAAAAAGTATTACTGTGAGGGTCCTTTGACCTCCCACTAACGCTGGCATCGGAAAAGGAGTCATATTTCTCAATTTAAGACTTTTTTGAAATGTCGACTTAACACTAAAATTAAGGTATTGCTAAAAAGTGTTGATGTTTGACATTTCCAATAAATATCGTTATTAGAAATTAAAGTAATGCTATTTCAAGCCAAAAACAACAGAAAAAGCTATATTCTGAGGAAAAATTAAACTTGAACTTTGTTTATTTTTTAAAAAAAGCTGCTTCGTAATTTCAAACCAGAATTCGCTCTATTTGTGTTTATTTGTTGTACTCCTTATTTCGTAGTACCCAGAGACTAATAAAACACCGATTTTATCGATAAAACGCGTTGAATTTTCGTACTCGTAACACCCGAAACAGAACCATTGTAACACCCGAAACAAAGAAAAAATTTATAAAAAAATAGTAAAACGTTTTATTTAACAGTGATTGTATGTTACATGGTTTGTAAATTTCATACTTTAGAAGTCCTGTAAGTTTTAGGTATGATTCCTTAAGAAAATTCGCTAAATTTCGAGTAAATGCAGCAACAGTCAGAACATAGAGGCAAAATCTCGTAACGCCCGAAACGCACACTTTTCGACTCATATTTTCGTTATCCTACATTCTAAGCTGTACAAACTTTATTATTTAGATAAAACAACTAAAAACGGACAGATTAAGGCACTAACATTATTAAAATACTGTTTCAAAATACATGAAATTGTTGAATATGTGTGTACGAACGTAACACCCGAAACGATGGAATGACCCTTATCATGAAATTTTCATTAGTCTTATGTTTATTTTAGAATTATTGATGAACATTATTTATTTAGCAATTATTATTTCTGTGTTTATTTGATTTTAGGTTTTCTTTCAAACTTTCCTGTATGTTATTTAATGTACTTTTGTAATGAAATAAAATATTTTGTATTTGTATTCCTTTTGATATTAGGCTTTGTTTACATTAAATCATTTGTATCTTTGAAAGGCTAGTAGATTTCAATGATGTTTAGGTATGGAATTGGACAAACTTTAGAGGGTATAAGTTTCAGTCTAATTACCTACTTTAAGTAATAATATTTAGAATAGAATTGCAGGAATTATCCCAATCCTAATAATAACCATAGAAAGATACCTAAGAAAGAAGTATAAAGGGCTATTTTCATACTTAAATTAGTTCGATGCTTTCTTCTCTTCGATTACTAAATACTTTTACCTACCTAGATAAAGTAGCGTAAAATTCCGAACAACGAATGATTCGTGTAAATATTGACAAGAAACTAGTACTTTTGTAACAAAGTCGTAGGGCATTGGTCCTTAAAATATCACTGTTGTTTACTTTCTGAAGCGTTATTTATAAACATACCTTCACTGCAGGGGGCGATGTAGAACACACCGTAGAAAATCCATCATTGAAACTTTTCGTCACACGTCACTTAAAAAATTACGAAAACTGAAGTCACCACAAAACTGTATATCACAAATCGAAGTCTATAATCACAGGATATTGTGGAAAAACTGATCGTAGTCACAGCAACTCGGTATCCAAACAGGATATCGAGTTAAAAACAATTTTACGTATCATCACCATCGAAACGTATTTCCGCGGCCCATTTTTATGGAACTGCAGCAAAAATCACAGAAAACTGAAGAAAAATAACACTTTCAGTCACCAATCACGACGTAATTAGACTAGTTGGGTTACCTTTAATTTCTAATTAATTTTTATTATTTAATTTGATGAAAAAAGTAATACACCCACAAGAGTCAACAACCGTTTGACAGCCGAGGGGAACATTGGCCGACGCCATTTTGGATTTTAGTGTTGCAACTTGAAAATCTAAATTTCCCCAAAAATATTATAGAACCCCAAAAAGGATGAATAGTTATTTTATCAATCGTAAGCTTGCGTTAGATTTTATTTATCGGATTAATTTATTTTTAACAAAGAATAATTATGCCATTTTATGGAAAGCTCACGCAAATAATTAAACTTGTTTCAATGTAATCATTACAGATGGAGTTTTAGTAAATGCAAAATGGTGCAGGTCTTAGCCACTAGGTGGCGGTCAATCGAGAGAAAAGCAAACCCATTTAATTTTTGAGACAAATGTTATTCGAGTTATTTATTTGGAGAAACTGGAAAAAGCGAACTTAATGCCGTCAGCCAACCATTGTGTTATGCTACTAATTATTATTTTAAACTACCAGCATCGCCATCTAGGTAAAAACTTCATGCATTGCGCTTTGCGCCACCCTAAAGTACATTTTGTTTGTACTGTATCCCAATGGTAGACCACTGGACCACAATGTAATGTTTTGTAACTGGACGTAGGCCTAGTTAATAGGACTTCGATTGATACGATTACAAATAAATCAATTAAAATACGTAGTAATTGGTAAAATTTGTATAATTATTGCTTTATAAATGCTCATAATACAATACAATATTTTTGCTACAGTTTTAGGAATGGTAACTTGATATTATATTATATTTAACCATAATAGATTGCAAAATAAATTAAGTATTACCTACTCTTATAAATAGGTATGCCAATAATATACAATAATCTACAAACAAGATTAGGTATATTGTATAATATGGCTTTATTATGTTTCATAAAAAAAATAAAAGTAGGTATACAATCACTAGGTATACATAGATCTATTTATAAAATAATATCACAGAAAATAATACTGTATTTGTCTAGATCAAATCCCAACTAATATTATAAATGCGAAAGTAACTCTGTCTGTCTGTCTGTCTGTCTGTCTGTCTGTCTGTCTGTTACGCTTTCCCGCTTAAACCTCGCAACCGATTTTGATGAAATTTGGCATAGAGATAGTTTGAGTCCCGGAAAAGAACATAGGATAGTTTTTATCCCGGTTTTTGAAACAGGGACGCGCGCGATAAAGTTTTTCTGTGACAGACAAAATTCCACGCGGGCGAAGCCGCGGGCGGAAAGCTAGTCCTAAATAAAACTGGATTACAATCCCATGACTAGTTACAAGATACTTCAATAAGTTTGGTTTGGTACCCTTTCCAACACACACACATAAATACTAATAAGCGTATATTATTTAAATATTAATAACTACTAATATTGCAATAAATACACGTATAAAATGATAATTCCATTTCTAAAATGCTTTCCCATCTACTGTAACTATGCCAGTGAAAAAAGCACCAAAAAAGGCATAATTTTTAGCAAAATCTGAGTTCGTTCAATCAATAACAAGCGCCATCAGCTTTGAAGACTTAGTATCCTCTTCAACCCCGGGAAACAGGAATCCCTTCTTTCCCAACTCCTCGTAGGTGATCTCGTAAAGGTCGACGAAGTTTGCCTTCTTGGCCACAGCTTGGGACGCTGCAGCGGTGAACACTGTCACTGTGACTTTGATGCCGAGGGATTTGCAGAAGGGGACCCTGGAAAAATGAAAATAAGGTTTTTATAGTTTAATTAAGACATCAAAAATAAGTGCATAAGGTATTTTAACTATTTTCGTTGCACAGCCTAATTTCATTTCAGATTGCCCCAAGGGATTAGGGCATGTAATATCGGAAGGTTTTCAATTCCGATATTGGATTCCGATATTAGATCTCAATATCGGAATTCCGATATTAATATCGGAATTGAGTTCGTGTGCTATAAAATTAATATTTGGTTATATTCGTAAGAATTCTGGATTGCTTACAATAAAATAATGATTTTAATCAAAATCTTTAATTTGGTACAAAACAGCACTTTAAAATTGAAGTATTTTAAAACCATTTTTACGTTATGGGTATCCATTGCATTTGATTTTTATGTGACAAGAGGGAAACGAGCAGACGGATCACCTGATAATGAATGGTTACTGATAATGAGCCTATATGGACTAGCAAATAATTAAAGTGTTTTTGTAAAATGACAGGTATCATACAAACTTTTTTACTCCTTCATTATATTACCCTGTTTTATGTTGGCGGAACGAATTTTAGTCATTCAAATCACGTGTTACAAAAATTGTAGAGAGTGGTAAAAAACTTGAATATGCTTGTAAATCTTGTAATTGAACAAATTACAAGCATATTCAATTTTTTTTTCTTCTCTTTTTCTCTTTCGTCTTTTTGATTATCGATGTACAACTCACAAAACCACGAGCCATCATCATCATCATCATGTCAGTCATAGGACGTTCACTGCTGAACACAGGCTCCGATGCTGATTTTCACAATGGCCGGTTGGTGGCGGCCTGCATCCAGCGCCTTCCTGCTACCTTTATGAGGTCGTCGGTCCACCTAGTGGTAATGAGTCCTACGCTGCGCTTTCCGCTAAGGCAGAACCGTTGGAAGACCTTATCACAATGCTCGAAGATCTTAATCGAGTCTCCCAACAGGTAGGCCTTCGGATGAATATGGAAAAACGAAGCTTATGTCGAATGTCCATGTTGCTCCTTACCCAGTTTCGGTTAGGAGCTCAATTCTCGAGATTATTGACAAGTAAGTATGTCTATCCACGTCCACCTACAAGGTGGACCGACGACATCGTAAAGGTAGCAGGGAAGCGCTGGACGCAGGCCGCTACCAATCGATCAACATGGAAAGCATTGGGGAGGCCTATGTTCAGCAGTGGACGTCCTGTGACTGAAATGATGATGATGATGATGAAGTATGTCTATCTCGGACAAACGATCAGCTAGGTAGTTAGATGCAATTTCGAGAAAGAGGTAAATCGTCGAATATGAAGACGAAAGTCTTCAATTAGTGTGTGTTACCAGTGATGATATACGGCTCGAAAACGTGGCCTTTGAATATAGGGAACAACGTGCTTCGGAGAGGGATAAGCTTGGTGTTTCTTTACGAGATCTAATCAGAAATGAGGAGCTCCGTAAACTAACTAAGGTCGCTGACATAGCCCGACGGATTAGCAAGCTGAAGTGGCAATGGGAAGGGCACATAGTACGCAGAACTGACGGTCCATAGTCCAGTAAAATTAATGTTTGAAAGGGAGTTGAGATGTCGTTCTTTGTTGACCAAGTACCAATGGCAAATGCTAAAATTGATTTAGAACAAGTTAAATTAACCATAAATAGTAAAGATATTAAAATATTTGCAGTGGAACAAAAAGTGATGGTGAGAGACATGAGAAAATCATTGGTCTTTGCCAATCATGTACTTTGGGCTTTGTGGTAGGTTGTGGCGAGTTTAAACGCTTTGTTTAAAATCTCAATTAAAACTTTTATCCGATTCCGATATTACGATATCGGGTCGCTCAATATCGGAATTGAAATATCGGATCTCGCAGTCCGAGATTCCGATATTACGAGATTCCGAGATTCCGATATTCATGCCCTACAAGGGATGACTGAGAGAGAACACCATTACGTCAAGTTTGCCTTTTTTACCTGCTTTCATGTATAAACTTTCATATAATTAAAATATTCTAGTTGTTTTTTCCTCCAGGATAATCATTAAACAGTGTAAGTACATAATTATATGTATTATTGTACCTGTGACATGTAAATTACATCGGTTTGACTGAATTTCCTCGCTGAGTAGAAAGAACACAGAAAAACTAAATAGGTAGGTGAGGTACCTACAGCATAGCTTCATAGAAAACAATGGTTACCAAACGAAAATTATTTAATCTACAAAATACATAATTTAACAAACAAAACTATAACAAAGAAAACATTCAAAATCTATTCCGGTCCGTCTTATCGAGCTTATGGCGTTGCTTGCAATCCACTTTCACTGGTTTCTTCTCAGGAATTACATTCCTTTTGATATGGCAAATTGGTTGAGCAAAACCAAAGTCCAGTTCACAATAATACAAGTGCTTATTCCTATCAGCAGGATTGGGGTAGTAAGCAGCATACAAAACTTCATCGACCATGTAAATTTTCACGTCAATCGTGTGCTGGAATAGCACTCCACTTAGAAGCATTCTTTCTATAACTCCACACGTGACATGCCCAAATTTATTTCCCCAAATGTTTAGGAATCTCAGAAAGAACGGCTTTTTGATCGTATTGAGAATGTCCAGAACTCCTCGATCGGTCAGCTTATTATTAGAAATATCTAAAGCCCGAATCTTTGAATATGGCATTCCAAAACTTATAGCTCTTGCACCTGTGTCTTTGATCTCGTTTCCTGCTATATTTAATAGGATCAACTGCGGTGATTCAGCAAGGTATTTCGCTAGCAACTCAGCTCCATAATCCCCGATCCGGTTGTACCCTAAATCTAAATATAGAAGAGTCTTATTCCGTCTTAAGCCTCGCGCGAAATACTCCATGTCGTGGCTGATGAAGTCGTTTTTCTGCAAATGCAGCTCAATAATGCTGCTGTTTCTTTCAAGCAAATATTCGATATGATAAGCTAACCATTTGGTTTCGTAATTGTATCGATTGAAGAGCGGATTGATTCGGCTGAAATCGAACACTTTTAACGTAGTATTCGCGCCGTGATCGATTCTCAATGCTGTTATGATTGGGGCCACACTCGTCAGTGTCTGTCCAGTTTGTGCTATATCACAGTACTCGAGACTTTTGTTATCAATCAGAAACTTTGCGAAATATTCTCCGCCTTTAGTCCCTAGTTTATTCCCATTCAATCTCAAATACTTCAGTTTCATAAACTTCGCATATTTAGCCAGACTTAGCGCAGACTTCTCCGTCAGTCTATTGTTCATGACGTTCAAATTGATCACGCTGGACCGTCCTTTGACCAGTAACTTCTTCACCAGCTTATGAAAGCCAAGATCTGTGATTTGGTTGTAGCACAGATCCACCATGGTGATTCGTCGCGGCTGTTCTCGAATATACAAGCAAATGGCTCTGATATCACTGTCTTGGATTCTTATTTGGTACCTGTCGTACAGATCTTTACCACGGAGGACCAGAAACCCTGTGCCATCGGAGTTTCTTTCTGTGAAAAGGTTCAGACGTATTTTATTTAGTTCTGTACTTCTCAATAGACGTGGAGTTCCAGTAATTTGTTTCAGCAAATGTTCGGTATTGCAGACGCATTTCCTTTGCTTTCGACGAGGTGATTTTTGAACCATTTTACTTTAATAAAGCTAAATAAAATATTATTACAAAATTTTCGACGATGTTTTCAACATTTTGACAACAATCATGACACAAAAATGACACAACATGAATCAAACAATAATAAGATCGGAACTAAAAAGTACAAAATAATAAACATCCTCTTGAATCTTTTTACTTAGATCCGTTGCACAGTTTAAAGTCAAAAACCTACAATTTACTTACTCTAAGAACTTGCTATAGGTACATTTATTTACAATAATAATTGAGAAGTATTGTTCGATTACACCAAACAAAAACATTAGTAAGAACCCATTAAGCATCGGCGTATTCCAATAAGCATTTCAAGGATTCCCAATCAGCCTTCATTGTTCGCGCCTCCTTGCGGTCGCGTTCCTTACAAATTCCACAAATTCCTCATTTATTGGAAGAGGGTCGGTGGTCCGGAGGGCGGGAATTCCTCGACACCTCATAAAAGATAAAGATGGCTGGAAAACTCGGTCGTTTATCACTATCTATAGAGAGGTTTTGGGTATAGCCATAGCTGAGCCGGTTTTGTCTGAGCTTGGAAGGTTAGGTGATTAATGGCGTGGAAAAACGTTTTGTCACATTATATTAAGATGCTGAGTATAACAAAAAACCTTCTTATTAATATTGTGCGTAATTTCACCCGTTAAAACAAATTTAAATTTTACCCTATTTTGTGGGTGTTTTTTAAAAATTTTATTTATTTTTCTGGGTTCACCAAAGTTCACCAACAATGTCGATGGGTGGGACTTCGAGGATGGATGGAAGTTTGTTCCACGTACCTACCTATTCTTTTATGCAAAACTACTGAACAATAATTTGAAATAGAGACTGATAACGTTAAGTAACAGTCGCGGTCTCTCATCTCGTTCTCTTGTCGCGGTCTCTTGTCTTTTGGTCACAAGCGTCTTTTCTGTGACACACTGAAATTCTCGCAGACTAAGGCCCGGTTTTTTGATTCGTGGTTAAAATAACCAATGGTCAAATTTGACAGATGTCAAATGACAAGTGGTTAAATTTCAGAAAAAAATGTTTTTCGAACAATGGTTAGCTCGACTTTTAGTACATTTTTAAACTATTTGTTTACATTTTGTTAATATTTAACCATTAGTAGCAAAATTTAACAATTAGTTATTTTAACTAAAAATCAAAAAACTGGGCCTAAATCTAGTCATAGGCTAGTTGCCTAAAAAAATTTTTTTAGTCCGTAATGTTTAATATCAAAAAATATTGGACACGTAGGTATATTTTTATTTGTCAATCTAACAAATAATTACATAGTTATGGTGCGTTGAAGTTGCGCACGACGTCACAACGGCATTTTTAAGCAAGCGTTGACGTCACGAGCCTCTTCTTATGAACTTTGGGGCGCTTTATCTCTTTAAATTTTCATTACATAGTTTGAAAAAGTGAAAAATACGTGTAGAGTATTTTTTGATAAGTTAACTGACGGACTAATTAAAACTCTTGCTTTTTGACCCAGGCAACATCCCCATTATAATTTTATCGACCCTACCTGGACTCCAGCAGCTGCTGTCCCACCTTCAGCCCTCTCCACTCTGGAGGCACCACCAGGCCGTACGCGGTCAGATACTTGTCGACTCCAAAGTGGGTGAATATATCCACGCTGCGGGAGACCAGCTCGACAACGGAACTATATGTCACCATCGCTCATGCTGGCATCTCGCTTTGCGCGAGAGGGGTGGCAACTTCGAAACTTTGGTGTTTTAACTCTGCAGGTCGACACCGAAGTGGGAAACTTAGCGAGGATGCATGATAGTCATTTTGTGTAACTCACGCGAGCGAATCAAGTCTTAATTAAGGGCGTAGCCACCGCATAATACGGGGCCCTCGCGACACAGGAGCCCCCAGGGCTGATTAAAAGACCTCTTTTTAGATGTCTCCTTAATTGATCCTTAGCACGGTAATACCACTCACCACCATTTTTTTTTTATGCATAACAAGGCAGGTATTTGACCACAATCGCACCTGATGTTAAGTGGGATGCAGTCTAGGATGGTTCATATCTGCCCTGTAAGTGCTTATTCACTCTCGCCTTGAAGACCATACCATATTATCGTATCCTTAGTGGCTTTTTACGTTATTTGGGCCTCACCAACCGTTTAAGGCACATTACACCGCAGCAGCATTGGTCTAGTCTAAAGTTTTAACTGATAATTACCTGGACTCCAATAACTGCTGTCCCACCTTCAGCCCTCGCCATTCCGGAGGCACCACCAGGCCATACGCGGTCAGATACTTGTCGACTCCAAAGTGGGTGAATATATCCACGCTGCGGGAGACCAGGTCGACAGCGCCGAACAGCTTCGCCCAGACCCGGTCTTCTGTCTGAATGGGAAAATAAAAAATAAGTTATGTTTATTAGATTTTAAACTTTCACGTTCTATAGTTCCTTTTACCTTTTGTACCCATCGCTGCAACTCCTATGTAGCCAGGATCTACACCTTGACCGCCAATAAAAACCTAACCAGTGAAGGTCAAGTTTGTCCCGGGGGAAAGTTAAACTGTCAGTACCTACATACCTACATAAGTAGGAATTAGGATGTACTAAACTCATAATAAAATTTCAGAGACTCGAGGCCGCGGTGTCTTATGGTTATTTTTTATCCACAACCTGATGAAACGTGATGATCAGGCTGAAGTTGGAAGCGAGTTTATCAAACAAGTAATTACGAAGTTATGTTCCACGTGACGTCACAGCGTGCTACACTTTAGATCACGTGTAGTGACGTCACGGGCCTTCACTTTTGAGCTTTGGCGCACTTTATAAGTGGATCGTGCTCGTGCAGTGGAGACTAAATGACCTGATGATGAACTTTAGACCAGTCTGCCTATTCATCTTCTCTACTCACATGAAAAGGTTCCTCCTTATCGCCCTTACAGACCACAGTCAGCACATTCACCCCCACCACCTCGGATGCCCCTTCCTTGTCTTCAACGCAGACCAGAGACAAGTTGTCTTTGACTGTGGTCCGCCAGAGTTTCTCTAGTTCCGATACCGCGGACGGGTAGTTGTGGATGCCTGGAAGAAGGGTTTTATGTCACTTGACAGTTAAATCAAATTATTTATTCAGTAAGTAGGTACCTACTTAGGCCCATTCGCGGGCACGTGATGATCAAGACGAAGCTGGAAAGGTGTATGAAAGTGCGCACATTATATCGGCCGATTCTTTATAAAAAAATCCCAACTATAGATCCTGCCATCCACGAAGACGCGCCCCACCAATTTTTGGTCGAGGGAAGCGCGGGGTGCTGGGAGTTTGAGCCGAGCAATCCGAGCGTCATTATTGTAGTGTGTGTGCGTGTGCAACTGTGCACTCATGGATAATTTAGCTTTTACCGATAACACTAAACATTAGCGGAAGAATGGTGGGGCGCGTCTTCGTGGATGGCACTATCTATATCGGCCGATTAAACTGCTGGGAGTCTAAACGACCTGATTATCATCAGTTATCACTCACCGATGTACTTGCAAGGCGGCTCGTCCTTCGTGAAGTACTTCAGCAGAAGTTGGATGCTGGCTTCGAACAGATCCTCTGTCAGGTCTTGGACTCGTAGGTGGATGATGGAACTGCCTCGCTGGACCGTGAACCGTCTCCACACGTTGGGGTACGGAACCGAGGGTGGGCGGGTGAAAACCATGATCTGTGATTGGATTTGTTTAAATAATTTATAAGGCTGGGTTGCACCATTACTTTGACTGTAAGAAACGTCAAAAATCTGTCAAACTCCATACAAAAACACCGGTTACGGTCAAATCAAAGGCTAGTTGATGCTGCTGAACTATCGCAGTGCTGGATTAAGACTATTGATGCTAGTTTTTATATTTACGAACTAACGATAAACCGTCACTGTCTAAGGGACGCGTAATCCCCCTTTGAAAACAAAATTCCTTTTAGGTAAGCGTGTCCCCACAGATCATAGAGGTGTTACCCATAGGGGTCACATAAAAATTAGGAAAACGGGTATATTTATAAGTGTCTCAGTATTTAGTACTTATTATTATTCTGTGGTATTTACTTTGCAATAAAGAGAAAAGATCACTCAAGTTTAGGGGTGTGAATCTTTGTCTGAGCTAATTTATGTAGGTAATAAAACTAACAGGACAAGCAACTAAACTTAACTAAAACTTCCGAACACTCACGGCAGATCCTGGCACTCCTCGCACTGTGATGTCACCTCTGAAGAGGGTCGGAGGCTACTGCTCCAGCCACCGAAGTAAGGGTTGCGGCGCACCGCGCGCGACGAGTTGGATTTGCGCATGTCTGAGCCTGGATGTGATGTGAAATAATAAATAGGTACTCAGGTAATACCTACTAATTAGACACATATATACGGGCCTCTCAGGCCCCCACGTCAGTGTTTGTTTACGTGAAATTAAATCCACCTCAGTAGCTAAAGGTTAAACTGTGAAATTAAAATAGTTTATTTAAAAAAAATAATACATAATAATTACTAAGGCTGGGTTGCACCATTTTACTATAACTTTAACAAACTAGGCACTTACAGGGCAGATATGTACCATCCTAGACTGCATCCCACTTAACATCAGGTGCGATAGTGGTCAAATATCTGCCTTGATGCATAAAAAAAAACGCCAAAAGTCTGTCAAATTCCATACAAAAACACTGGTTATGGTGTTATAGTCACGGTTACAAGGTGGTGCAACTCAGCCTAAACCTCAATGGTCGAGTGATGTAGTGGTTCTCGACGCTGACTTCTATTCCAGAAGTCGCGGGTTCGATTCCCGCACAGTACAAACATTTGTTGTGAACATTTTGTATGATATTGTTATCTGGTACCCGTAGGCAAGCTTTGCTTATTGGGGCTAGCAAGAAAAAAAATAATCATCCGTATTTCTAAAAAAAAACCACAATCAATGGTCCAAAGAACTGCATTTATTTATTTTTATTTAAATGCAAGATAGACTAAATAAACCATAGAAGTTTAACTGTGTTTTGAGTATTCTAGAAGAGATCGCTTCCTAGTGGTAAAGATCGTCTAAACTTTGTTTGGTGTATTTAATTTTGTTGGAACTGATAACTTTAAAAAACAAAAATTGGAACAGCATGAGTGAGATATCAACTGTTCAAGTTCACGTTCATAAGTGCCCTGTGCCACCACCAGTGGTCAAAATTGAATAAAATATTATTGATTTGATTTGTTCAATAAAGTATACTTATAACCATAATAATTAACCACCTAGTGTGCCCCGGCCTAACAGATGCCGTCAGCATCCAATCCCGTTAATTTATCCCACCCCAACGCTTATGATATGACGTTATCGTTAGACGCCTTTTAAATTACGCTAAATGACATTGAAAAAGTTTTCCAGGTTTAGATGGCCTTTGAAAAATTTCAGACAGTTTTAAACTAGAGATTTCACCCTACCTGTAAAAAAAGGTTATGCAAAAATGTTATTTTTTGCCTACAATGTATTGCTCTAAATACATACACTCGAAAAACATAATTCAATGTCATGTCAGGAACAGGGCCCCTCACCCGTGCCCTCACTGAAACTAAAAAATAATAGATACGCTCAAATGGTTGGTTTGTATTGAATCGGATCCGATAGGCTGAACCGATTTGAAAAAATCTTTAATGGTTTGAAGTGCGCCGGGTCAGCTAGTCTCAGTAACTTTAAAGAATAAAATTTAATAAGGAATTCAATTTGCATTATCCATTTATACTCTGTTATAACAACCTTTCTTCTGGACGCAGTCTTGTTGTGGTCTTACACATAAATAAGTATTAAATAGAACAAATTCTTTGTGTCCCTGCCTAAGAATCGAACCTAAGCCTTCTTCCATTTATTCCAACAATCCAAGAGATTATTATCTATCGCCCGTATTCACAAACGATGCAATGTGTGATGTGAAGCAGCAAATCGAACGCACAGCGTTGAATAGAGCTCTGTGATTGGTTCGTGTGTCACCCTGTGCCTGTGCGTCCACGCGCAGTGTGAGACCTCATAGTCTATGAGGTCTCACACTGCGCGTGGCATAGTAATGTTTGTGAATATGTTACGGATAAAGTGATAAATGTGAAAATTATCAATAATCGCCGGTTATTATGAATAATTACCGAGAGTCGTGGTAAAAGTGATAAATTAATAACATTTAACAGTGATTATTTAATAATTTAACCTTAGTACTAACAAATATCATAAAAGAGAACAACATCTTGTGTACGTGCTCTTGTAAAGCCAAAAATTTTTAACGTTTTGATATCATAATTATATTAATATAATTTGGCATAATGAGTTTGGAATGTTTCTTGCATAATATTACTTTTCCATGATGTCCATAACATAATGTTTTGATTTAAAGTGGAAAATAGGTTAAGGTGCGACGGGGGTGGCCCTTGGGCCACCCCTAAGCCGCCTATTTAGTTTTATACACACATAAATGACCTCATTTTAATCACATTTACCAAATCATGGGGTAATTATTCATAATCACCGGCGATTATTCATAATTTTCACATTTATCACATTGACCGTAACAAATATACGGGACCTACGCAGTGTAACGCAGTCTTGTAGTCTTACACTAGATGAGTAATTAGAACGAATTCTTTGTGTCTCCGCCTAAGAATCGAACCTGACACTTCTTCCAATTAATTCAACAATCCAAGAGCTTCCCAAAAATGATGTGAAGGTCAAAATGATTTGTTTTCTCAATCAAAATGCGTGTTTCCCTGTAGTTCACCGACAAATAAAACTAAGTTCGTTGTACTGCCTTTGTGCGCTAAGGTGCACGATCAACGATCAAAATATTGTGCCGGGAAGTAGGGTGCGTGCACCGGTCATTGGCAGTAACAATTAAAAAAATAAAAACGCTTTTAAAAAACTATTTGCAGAAAATATAATTACTTTTATGAGTGTGATTTGACTATTAATTGAGAATTTGAGATTTAGTACCTACTTCAATCATACTAGATTTATGCAAGGATTTTTTTTGAAATAGGTAACTAGTTACTCCGAAAATTTTGAGCCAATCAAGGAATTCCATAAAAAAATGTTTTTTTTTTAAATATTATTAAATGTTCAGAATACGAAGATAGGCCAGCCAGGCAGACAAAGATTTATCTTTAAACGGATGGAAGCTATAGCTTTGGCATCATAATTGTTATTTAAATAGTTAATTGCGAACTAACGAGGTCCTCAAAGGTTGTAGTTGATAAACTAACATTCATAAGGTTTCATCACGAGCACTTGAGCCATCGACATCTGCTAGATTTATACGTAGATCTGCGTAATAGAAACAAAAAACGCTTAATCAGAATTCCTTTAGGACGATAACTACCTCTTTCACCCTACCGTACGCACGCTCAGTACTTCGTACTTGGATCTCCGCCATTTTGGCGCGTTCCCAAGAGCGATGGTTACCCCGACGCGTTCCACGAAAACAGTTCGCACATGACTAGAAAACTGAACGGACGTTAGAGTTTTTTGGGCATTCATAACAAAAGATTGATTTTTTGATATATCAGTCAATCATTTTGAGGTTATACGCAGTTGTCAAAAAGCGCGGGGAAAATCATCGGTGGCGCGAATTTTTTTTTCGCGCCGCGTGGACAAAGGATTGTGTTGTTGAACGAAACTTTTTTGTGCTCTCCTGATTCGACTTCGCAAGTGTGTTGGGACCTCTTTAATCGAAAAGGTGAGTGAGATTTATTTTTAACGCATTATGAAATATTAAAAAATAAAATAAAATTAGGAAACCTTTCTTAACTTCATTGTTTTAAATCAACGATTTTTAACTCGGTGTGTAGGAATGCCGAATTAAATATATTTCAATTTAAAGGTTAAGTACGTTATTTATTTTTTAACAACTCGTATTTTACGTATATTGAGGTACCTTTTTATTTAGCAGAATGTAAACAAAGAGGCAAGTGATTGCAATATACTTTGAAAGAGAAGTTTTTACTGTTAGTTTGATCCTCCGATATCAGAACAATAATTAGATAATAGATAAAAGGTTTATTTAATTTTGGTAAACACATTGACACACAATAAGTAAAAAGTAAGAGTAACTACACAAGAGTAGCAGAAAAAAAATAGTTTGTCATTACAAGCTGTAAAAAAAAGATTAGTGATGTACCAAAACATTTAATCTCTCTTTGTTGCACCATAGCAGAAATAGTGAAACAAACAAAGAATGTTTTTGTCCGTAAATAACCATCATCGTTGAAAATAAATTTGGTGCGCATTATAAAAGAAAAATTACCTACGTCCAGTCTCCTTTGAAAATTTTAGCCATTTCCGGCCAAACCGTCGAAGGCCAGGGCCGGGGTCAAAGATCGGACGTTCTATTTTCGGATTTTCAGCCATGTTTTTGTTTCCCGCCATATTTCCGTCTGGCGGTTCAAAATAAACCGTTTGTTTTCCTTTAGAGGTGAATTTAATAAGTTTGTTTGTTTTAATAATTTAGGTTTTCTTCAGGTGTAAAGTTTTAAAATAAATAAACATGCACCAGATATGAATGGTTTATTTCATCCAATTTCTTCCTTTGATCGTTAGATACTGGTTGTTTTTGAAAAAGTGACTGTTCTTGTAACTATAGACTCATGATGAATGATACTGATCTTGCAATAATATTTTACCTACCTATCATTTAAATTATATTTCCTACTAGCTTTCCGGCCGCGGCTTCGCTCGCGTGGAATTTTGTCTGTCACAGAAAAACAATATCGCGCGCGTATTTGCTCACCGTTTAGACCTACCCTGGACTACGACAAACAATTTAAAACCAAAATCAGCTCAATCGGCCCAGCCGTTCTCGAGTTTTAATCAGACTAACGAACATCAATTCATTTTTATTTATATTTTTTATTTATATAGATAATAAACAAAAGACTGAGAAGGGCGACAACCCGACAACTGGTGGCTTCAAAAGATTCGGAACGAGCTCAGATCAATAGACATTCCAAGACAGAATGTTCCGACCCCAAATGAAATGGGAAAAGGTACAGCAGAAGAAGAATGGACAAACCGCTAAATAAAATTCAAGAAGCATTTATTTAAAGCATGGTTTTAGAAACAGAAGACTGCTATCGAGCATGTGGAGAACACGCGGAGTTCATGAAACACTTTCTGTGTGAATGTGACGCGTAAACTTGAACAAATATGGGTCTTTTGTGTTCAGTAGAACCAGGCACCAGAAGACTGTAGAAGGTCGCTCTCACCCTGGCACTTAATTCATAATGGTTAGAACTTTTGTGGACGATAGGAAATAAGATAAGGAAAGTACAGAAGATCCCTATGGGTCAAGGTGCACTAGGCGTAGCCCAAGATAAGATTTAACCAAGCATGATTAGCTGAAAACTTCATTGATTCTGAATCCGAGTTGTAGTACTCTCGTCACGACAACAAACGACCAACTTCAACGATTTTACTCACACATCAATCGTCACTTGCATCAAAAACTACGGAAGCCAAATTGCCGCCTCGTCAAGGTCACATGGTGATGGCTTATGTCAAGCTCACGGCGTTGCCATAGCAACGGCTTTTCCTATTGGCAGAGAGACTAGACGGGCGTCGCACATGGTAACCTTGCGTCGGCGTGTTATACAATTTTATGTGGGCACATTTAGTGGGGTTTGTTACTTTCGCGTATTTAGAGCGTGTGATGACAGAGGTCAGTGACTAACGAAGAGGATGACTTAATCATCGATTTTGAATATTTTAAACAAATTAGTAATAACCAATTACTCTGTAAGAGAGAGGAGAGGTACATTGAGATACTCTGAGAAATTTACAAAACCAGTAGAGCCATGATAAAGTTGGAAAGGAAAGGAAAGCCTTTTATTTAATATAGAAAGAGGTGTAAAACAAGGAGATCCGATCTCACCAAATTTATTTACTGCCCTACTAGAACATGGGAACTCTGGGAAATGATCCAGGGAATTCTGGGCTTGAGACAGGTAGTCTACTAATCACAGAGGCATTTTTAAAAATAAAATGTACTAACATTTACGCCATCGGCCATCGACAGTGTCAAACCAAGTATACTGACGATTTGCCAAGGGTATCCCTTCTCTCTTCCAAATCAAACCGGATGGGCCAATGAAACAACTGAAATTTTTATAACATATTAGCTGTCTCTGTAATTTTTAAAGAGACGAAAGGAGACAGCCGTTTGGATTCACGTCAAAAAATGCTACAAGACAATTCCGCTACTAAAAATCTAGTGTACATATTGTCACATAGATATTATTATGTGTTGATTGTTGGCGACATAAACTGGCGTACTTACCCTATACTTTTTATGATTTATCAAAACGAAACTATGTTTCTAAATAAAATTAAATAATAATGACATCAAAATAATGGCATATTTAGAAAGAAGAAAGAAAGAAAAACATTTATTTATTTGGTTCCAACTTAAAATATAACACACAGATAACAAAAAGCAAGTACAAGTTAGAACCAAAATTGGCCACCGCTCAGCATGAAATGTGTCACGCTATTTAGGCAGTCTTATTCTAAGAAAGCAATTTCTTCCAGGCAACCTAGGGAGAGGACAGTATTGTTTAAGATAAAAGAGGAAGGCAGTGATGAAATTTGATTTTTTATGTATTTTATTGGTGGTGACGTATTTTTCATTGCGGGCAGTTGTCCTTTCAATAGGTTCTCATAAACTATTCTCTAAAAGAAAGGCCGGAAGACGTAATGAGGGCAGGGCCTCACTAGGCGGATCGACGATCTGGTGAAGGTCGCGGAAAACACCTGGATGCGGGCAGCGTAGGACCGGTCGTTGTAGCAATCCTTAGGGCAGGCCTTTGTCCAGCAGTAGACGTCTGAAACGAACGAAAGAAATCTATACTAACATTATAAAGCTGAAGAGTTTGTTTGTTTGTTTACTTGAAGGCGTTAATCTCCGGAACTACTGGTCCGATTTGAAAAATTCTTTCAGTGTTAGATAGCTCATTTATCGAGGAAGGCTATAGGCTATACGACATCACGCTACGATCAATAGGAGCAGAGCAACAATGAAAAATGTTGTGAAAACGGGTTTTCACGCGTACGAAGTCGCGGGCACAGCTAGTAATTTAATATACCTACATAACCGAAGGTGCGTTATCTCATCAGGGAATCCCAGTGCTATTTATGTTTTACAGTTCATCACCCCTAAGGTCAGACGAATTGGACGGCCCAATACTAGTCCATGCCAACTGCCTTTTTCTGACTGGTCATCGTCATATATGGGCATACCTTGGGAGACCAAACTGGCAGAGTGCTGCAGTCTTGACCTATATGAGTTGAGGCTTGGTGCCTTGGTGTCATGAGCTCAAGACCTGTGGATGGATATAGACTGAAACAGAATATTACGATGGCAAAATGAACTACATACTTAATATCAGTCTGAATATTTTTTCAGAATCAGAATCATCTTATTTGTTTAAATGTGGTGCAGAAGATGGATACAGCAGATAATGAATAAGTAGGTCTCACAAATTAGTAATTTTTGCAGCCTTAAGTATCCCCTATTTATTTAGTGACACAGATAACTTAAAATACATTTCATAATGACCTATGGCCATTTTATAATTGACTTTTCCTACATCCTTCAATAACTTTCCTCTAGGCTGGGTGGAAGAGATCGCTTTATAAGACCGCCTACCTAAATAGTATCGTATCTTTTGTAAGTAGGTATATTCTTTTCTTATCTTGTGTGCTATATCTATCCTTTACCCTATTTCATCCCATTCAAGTTTTATTTTCAAGAAAAAAGTGCGCAATATTTTGTCTATCACCAATGCGAACTATTATTGCGAACTTTTTTTCGCAAACAACGAAAAAGCTATTTTTGACCATCAAACTATTAATTTACCACAACAAAACTAAATTTAACAACCACGCAGTATTGTTTGTAAACACCACGAGGCGCCATCTATTATTTGCTCACGGAAACTATCTACGCCGATCGATTCTCTTGACCCATATCCCGCCCATTTATAAAAGACACACACTTTTGTGGGATTTACAAAAGAAAGCGTTTCAGAACAAATTGGTTATTTAGATTTGGATTTCAGCCAGGATCAAAATGATTGTGAAAGTACGAAATTGCTGAATGGAATAATGGCTTCCACATGGTTATTGTGTCGAGGAACTTTCATTGTTTACATTGTTTGGACTTTTCTTGTTATGTAGGGTAAATATCTCAAATTCTAGTGTGTTCTAGATTGTACTTACACAATGTCCTACTCGCGACGCACCTACGCACGTGGAATTACCTGTTTACATACAAGTAGCTAGGTAGGTAGGTAGGTAGGTAACTACCTACACATATCTTCCAGAATCTACAACATACGTACCTACAACGCCGTTTTGTAGATTGATTAAAACCGAATAGGTACGATAAACTTATAGGTGTAGACTGTACATTTATTGACCATAACCAATGGTTTAAACAAAATGGTTTGTTGTTGAGACCGTCGCATTTCGCGCGTCATATAAAATTGTATGAACTAGGTACTAACCGCTTCTGCACCTCATCATAAACAAGCGCTGCATTAAGTACATCAATCAATTTTACTTTTATGGCATCCGAAACTAACTTTCAGTCAGACGAATCAAGATGGTCCATATTCCAGATCTGGCCATAATAATATCACAGAACATAGAAAGAGGCCTCTTTAAAAGGTAAAAGGAACCAAAATAACCATTTTGTCTTCTTCACGGACAATGACCTCAAAATTATAGACTTTGAAAAACTTTGTTAGCGTTTATTTATGCTGTGAGTGCCCTTAGATCAATGATTTGACTTGATAAATGATGACTGACATAAAACAAAAGCACATCGCACTAAATTAGCTGTAATTAATTAATCGCAATCTAGCTTTGTTGCGTTAGATCAATAGAGTCACATGCGAACAGTTTTCCCGCGCGTTTCAAACATGGCCACCTTCCAAAAGCGTGGAGTTGGTTTTGGGGAATGACGCTGTCTGAATTTTTCGGACAAAGGAAAATGATTTTCTTTGATGTCTGTAGAGTTGTCTGAATAAAGACAAAAAATGTGGGAATGAAATGAGTAGTTCTTTGTTGCACAATATTATCATGAAAAATAAAATTATACTTATACAATGCACTACGGCAAAAATAAGTTTTTTAAATTCAATGGAGGGAATTAGAATTAACCTTTCTTTTTTTTTCGAAACGGTTTGCCAGGTAAAAAAAAAAACTACCAAAGCATACATTATTATTTATTCTCATAATTTTCTTTGATAAGTTTGTACAGATAGGTGTTATTCATCTGTTTATTTCCTCGAGTAAAACAAATGGAGGAAATTGCGCAACTTTATTATTTGTATGGTTGAAAAGAAAGTATGAAATTGTGGAAACTGGAACTGGTCAATAAGGAAATCATTGAGGGCGGCTATGTTTAGCAGTGATGATAAAATAAGTAATAACAATAAACTGAAAGTCGAAATGACCATCGAACCGCCCATAAAGCGATTCTGTTTTGTAAACATATTATTGCGTAGTTTTTATCACCTCGATCCAGATACGCATGTCCATAATAATAACTCGTGTTGGATGCGCACGCGCTTATCACGCGCCTAAGTGGTTCTAATATTGAACTGAGTGGAGATCGAAATAAACTGGCATTTCGATCTGTTGTCCATCACAGGTAATTTTGTACGTAGAATGATGTGTGTTTTTATTGGACATGAGAGTTAGGACATGTTATTCACACTGGCCAGACGGGTTGACACTTAGGGCCAAAGTTCACCTAGGTAATTTTAAAACTAGCCTCTTACAACATCCACGGGAAATGTATTAATAGGAACCGTTGCTTGGACAGCGCTTTAGAACACAACATTTAACTTCTGTTATTAGCACACTTTTCAATAGTAATTTTAAGTTTGATATTTTTGCCCTCAGGGCCAAAATGCCGTCTGAAGTGATATCGGAGAAGTCCCTCCAGCGAGAGCTGGCGGACTCCATCATCAGGATGGTGCCGCTAGACGAGATAAGGATCCTCCTGGCTTGTGGAGCCAAGGTATGATTAAAAAAAAACATCTTAGTTTGACCTAAATGCTGTAAGGCATTAAGTTTGCCATGTGTGCAATTAATGTCTAGACTCAATACATACAGACAAAATGTTTCTATTGATGGACCTAAGATCTCTAAGCCAAAATTATAAGCAGCATGATATCTAAAATAGGTTTACTGATTTGTGTTTGGACTTTGATTTAATTTGGATTTTGTAAAACCTACTAATCTGTTTTGACGTATTTAGATAATTATCTCATCAGGCTATTCTTACATTTCCAGGTCAACGAACCTGTCACCCAAGGACTCCGCCCGCTGCACTACGCCATCTGGCAGCGGCACCTGGAAGCGGCCAGGCTGCTGCTGGTACGTGGATGTGACGTCAACGCTCGAGACGACTGCGGGTACAGCGCGTTGCATCTCGCTGCGGAGCATGGGTAAGCTTAGAATGGTCATAAAATACACTTTCTGGGCTATTAAAGAGCACTTTTACGTGCCCCAGTAAACCCTATCATTGCTATCCAGGCCAGGCCTAAGCCCCCGAAAAACTTCGACTTTGATCTTAAGCGTCTCTAAAAGTATGAGGTCGATCTCTTGATATTTTTTGTCATGCACAACGTTCCTTTAAAAATGGTAGGTACTTACCTACTTAAGAAATCTCCAGAAAACTTCTAAATAATATTCTGGATAAAAAATGCGTCATAGCACAGGCGCACAACAGGCGTGAGACCGGCTTCTAAAATAACTTCATCTCGAAAATAAAATGCGCACGAAATTATGACATTGAATACTTTTGTCGGAGAGTATTGGTTAGTCTGTCGATCACAACACCATCATACTTGACTAAAATGCATAAATATTAGCAAGCAATTAATTGACGACCGCATGTCTAGTATTCCTGTATGTCCTAGCTTAAAAGCGCCCTCTTCTAATGCTCCAGGTATAAAGAGCTGGTGAAACTACTCCTGGAGAGCGGCGCAGCGGTGGACTACAGGCCGGACACTGGTGAAGAGTTCCCCCGGACGACGCTGTGCGATGAACCTCTGAGGCTGGCTATCAGGAACAAGCATTATGTAAGTTCATTCAACTGGCTACAAATTCGTGTAAAAACAAAGTCGTGTGGTTACACCATTTAAGACTCAAAAACGGCTGGACAGATTTTGATGATATAGAATTATAGCTGACACCCTGGATTACCATAAATCAAATAGGCTATTTTATACCCGACGACCCAAAAATAAGGTGTTTTAGTGTAATCTAATAAACTGCAGGTAGTACCGGAAAGGTTTAAACCACTCTTTCTTCTTGCTTAAATGTCGAATCCTTAGTAGACCTCACTTAATTTTTCTCATTCTTCCAGGAGGTAGCCCGTCTCCTGCTAGAGCACGGGGCGGACCCCAACAAGCGTTACTTCTTCGGCTCCGAGATCAACCTGGTCTCCGATCCTGAGTACCTGGAGCTGCTGCTGACGTTCGGAGCCAACCCTGACTCCAGGGATCGAGCTGGACTGACGCCGTTGATGAAGGCTGCTAGGCAGAGGAAGGTAGTAAATTTCTTACACACTTTTTTGCTTACATCGGTCCAATTAAAGGTCAGAGCACACTTATCGACCCGGAAAGGGATTATCAATGTATCTCCTTTCGCCGCGTGGTGTTTACGTAACGGTGCAGATAAGTGTGCTGTTTTAATAAGTAGTTCAATTAGTATTCTTTGTATGATACTCCGAAATACTGTTCGCCTCGATTAATTTAACATGGCTGTCATAGAGCCACGGCCGAATGTTCAATTTTAGGACAATAACTCGCGGCTCTGTTTTCGGGTTTTAGTGGATTTATGCCCGTTTTCACCATAAATCCCTAATTTTTAAGTGACCCCTATGACAACAAAATGCCTGTTATGGGTCACTTAAAAATTAGGGATTGATGGTGGAAACGGGCATTAGTAACCCACTGGCCGTCCTCATCAGCCAAATAGAACAAAAGATGGCGTGTTAATTATTTTTAATGACAACATTTATTATTGTTTACAGGGCATGGATGCTGTCCTGCTGCTGATAAGTTTCGGCGCCGACGTCAACGCGATGGCGGACGCAAGGAACGACTATCGCACCGTCATGCACTACGCCGTGCTGGGTGGTACGTGCAGAATCTAAATAAAAACTTGCTGTAAAAAGGCTCTTGGGTGATTTATTTAGACCGTATTAGATATTCCATAATCATGACTTGGTTGATATTCTCATTATCTACACAATGCATTCCACTAATGCCCCTTTTAGGTCTCCTAAGTAATCCATCAAACTTGGTTACTAAAACGAAACAAAGTAAATAGACTGTATTTTATTAAAAGGACATGTTTTACTAACCTTTGTTTATTATCACTGGGGTTGTAACTCCTTAATATTATTAGTATTTTTCAACTCACCCACCCAACGTAGTGAGATGCTAGCAGGTGTAACAGTAACAGTACAGTGACATGTAGACCTATAAAATAATAGCAACACCACGTTATGAAATAGGTCTGCAAATGTGATAAATTAAATAAATAAACTTATCTTTGAACATTTTATACTGCGCCATCAGAGTAGTCCCAAACTAAGCAAAGCCTGTACCTACTATGGACACCATACTTGATAATACGTTACTTGTAAATAAGCTTGTGAAAATATATTATTTTCCCAGGTCTTAAAAGAGTACCTATCTATTCCATAATTCATCAATCAAATCATATTTACCTAACAGTCAGACAGAGTTCGCATTTAAAATGTTAGCGTGGATCTACTCCCCAGGCAATACGGACGTGGTCAATCTCCTGGTGAAGCAAGGCGCTCGGGTCAACTACCAGTGTCCGATGGAAGTCAGCAAGCCGAGTCCGCTGGACTTGGCCATTTTGAAGGGGGACGTGCCTATGGTGGAACTGCTTTTGTCTGCAGGTAAAGAACAATACTATACACGACCTCATTTATATGTACAAGGTAGCAAGAAGGCGCTGGATGCAGGCCGCTACTAACCGCGCTAATCATTGGGGGAGACCTGTTCAGCAGTGGACGTTCTGTAGCTGAAATGATGATGAAAGCAAAATATTGATATTGATCAAATTTTACTGCTGTGCTTTGCAAATGCTCAGTTAATTATGATTTAAGAAAAAATGTTCTACTAGGTATACTACACTGCTTAGAACTCCTTATTATAATAGTTTTACGGATGAGATAATGTATCTCCAAGGAAACTGAAGAGATGAAGATTTCCCTGAAATATTTCAATTTCAGGAAAATTAAAGTATCCTTTCGTTATGTGATATGGTCCTCTATACTGATTATTTTAAATGTGTAGGTAGGATCTGCTAGCTAGGAGTTTAATAAAAAAATATTTTGATTTCCAGGAGCTCAAGTGAACGCGTCGAGCTCGGTGATCGGTGCTCCTCTACATGTGGCCTGCTCCGACAACATCACGAACAGGACGGAAATAGTTAAAGTGAGTTTGAAAATCTCTTTTCCATTAATTTGTATAGCAGAAATTACTATGAATTCCGTTAAAAAACCCTTCCAGATAAGAATATAAAAGTTTTTTGTTAGAACTAACGACTCTGCCCTTGTTGGACTGTGATTCTTTAAAGTATTTGCTGCCTGTCATTTACGAGTAAATAATTCTCCATGCTTCTGTTTGTTTTTAGATCCTCCTAGAAAGTGGAGCGGATCCGAATCTGAAGGTATTCAACGACGATGACGGCACACAGCTTCGGCCCGCGCTCGCCGAGTACCTTGCAAGCAACGTCGAGCCCAGCGCAGAGATTGTGCATCTACTTCTCAGATATGGCGCGAGGGTGAGTTGCTGGAGTGCAATGATTTTCATTCTAATTTGACTCGACTATAAAAAAAAAACCCTTTAATTTGTTTTTTTTTATTCAGCCACTTACAATGATTATCTGGCTGGGACACCTTCCACATAGCTGTTTCTGTACGCCTAGATTTAAACTTTTGTTTTCTTTTCCAGGTAATCATGAAAACCCAGTTCCGTGACCCTGATGGCATCCTCAACCACCTCCAGAACGTAACCGCAGAAGAGTACCAGAACATCTTTTACATCCTTTTAGAAGCGGCAGAAGCCTTCGACCTTTGCATGATAAAAAGAAATAGCACGCTCACGGCAGTTCAAAAAGAGACCCTAATAGAAAGAGCTAAGAAACCTATCTCCTTGCTGGCTCAGACTAGGTTCTTTTTAAGGAAGTACTTTAGGACCGCCCTTGTTGATATTGTCCATGACTTTGATATACCATCAGTTCTCCACCGCTACCTTCTTTTCGAGTGCAGTTAAGCAGATCTCGTTACTTTGGGGATTATTCTTGAACTGCATTGTCAGTATTTCTGAGCCTAAGTTGTTTAGGCCGATTGTAAAGTCTGATTTTGATTCCTTGAGTCTGATACCCTTAGTTTTTTGTCGGTAGAAGACAATGAATGGTCTAGATTTGAACCATGGACTGAATGTCTGGACATAATTTAGACGTTTGTGTAAAAAGAAGGGCATCAGAAGTAAAATCCTTTTTTTCTCTTTATTAAAAGTGTATTTTTATTACTCATGCGTTGAAAAGGAAAGAAGTATTTTCCTGAATTGTAATCATAATTGTATTTCTAGTTTGTAAGACTTTCCCTGTATTATGTTAGGGGTATTTTCTCGAAATGTAAGTAGGTGTAATAAACACGAAAAATTTTCTTTTTTATAAAAAATATTTAAAGAATTTTTGATAAAAATAACCTTTTTCTATTTATTATTAATTTGGTCGTACCTTGCTCGGACGTTCAGGTTTCATACTTTTTTATACGTCCACATGTTATGTATTTACCTATTGTATACCTGCATTACCTACAATGAATAACAATAAAATATTTGTAACTAGAGTCCATTGAGGTTGTATACTATTATTTACTATATTATATTTTGATACTACATACTTATGTGTTTTTACGTAGTAGCCTGATTTAATGTGATAAATTGTGATACTATTGTTAATTTTAAGATTGAAATAATTTCATTTAAAAAAACAATATCATGTAATCGTTTTCTACGATAAAATAAAAGTGTGAATTAAAGATTGTTTTCATTTAAGACGACGCAGATTTTTGCATATCCAGTAGAAGAAATAGAAAGAAAAATGCATTAGTCTTCCAGTTTCATCGTTACATACCATGACCGTAACACGAACATAATAGTATCAGTAATAAATAGGTAAAATAACTTTATAGCAACTTAATGAAGTTTATAATTCACTTTTTCAGTTTACAAGACTAAAAAAACACTTTTAAAAAATAACGTTATTGATTATGCCATCAACATCGTTATTAAATAACGGTAACGTTATTAGAGGTAGAAAATTTATCTCCTAAGCTGGTATCATTTTTTATGACAGCTGAACAAAATTTCAAAATTTCCGGCCGTTGTTCTTCAAAAAAAGTTCCAAGTTCATTGATTGATCACGTTTTTGATATTTTCTGTTCGTTGAAATTTTGTGATCTTTGTTTATTGTAATTAATTTAATAATGTCGGAGAGTAAAACCCACGCTTCCCGCCTTTCGTCGTACAAGAATGCTGGTCAAGGCACAAATGTAAGTATTTTTTCTTTGTCTCTTCACGAGGTGTCGTTCGAGATTTTAAAAAATGTAAATAATTTTTGATTGCTATAGTAATGTGAAGTTAAATTTAACAAAAATAAATGAACTCCCTTTGTTAAAATGTATTTAAAATATTTAAAATGATTTACTAAAAAAATATCGAATTGCAGATGGTAAAATAAAGTTTCAATGAGCTAGCTGATACTTTTTTCTAGCTTTGCTACCATTATCTATTTAAAATTGAACTAAAATCTCAACAGAAAGTCCTAAAGGCTAAGAAAATATAAGTTATATTTTTTATTTAATTTTATATATTATGTGGGCTACCCTCTGTAACTTAAAACGGGTAAGATCTTGAAATAAATATAAATATTTTGTTACCTTGTGAATGGCCTAGGTTCGATTCCTAGCTAAGAAAGATCAATCTTCTCTTAATAGACTTAAATGAAAATCCTTTGTTTATTATGAAGATTTTATTTACACAAAAGAGACTACATAATTTAGGCGGTCTTATCGCTTTAAAGCTATCTCTTTCTGACATATCACTACACAAATCCTTTTGGAAGAAATTATGTACCACAAAGTCAATTAGTTTACAACTCACGAAGACGAGAGAGCTTTACTTTTGAAAAACGAACAGTAGCAAGCCACCACACATGTAAAGCTCACTCGCCTTCATGTACAATGCAACAACTATAATGTCATTTAGTGTCATATTCATCTGTATATTCGTCACACAATTTCTGTATAAGTGGCTCTCCGCAAGCAGGCGCGCGATGAGCACCTCAATGACGGGCACAATATAGGCGGTCTTATTGCTTTAAAGCCATATCTTCCAGACATACTTCTCTACATAATTCTTGGAAGAAATCACCACCATGTCAATTAGTGTCATATTTATCTGTATACTAGTGGCCGCCTGTGACTGGACCCTGATTTACCCTCTTAGGGGTTGAATTTTGCAAAATCCCATCTTAGTGAGCGCCTACGTTCTAAAATGAACCCCCATGCAAAATTTGAGTTTCCTAGCACTTGTAGTGCCTGAGATTTCGTGATGAGTGAGTCAGTCAATCTTTCGGCTGAAACGAACGAACGAGTCAGTCAATCAGTGACCTTTAGCTTTTTTATCATAGACTAGCTGACCCGGCGAACTTTGTTCCGCCTTAATGGCAATAAATAAGCAGACTTTTTTTTAAATTTCGAACGGGATAAAAAGTATCCTATGTCCTTCTCCTGGCTCTAAACTACCTCACTGACAATTTTCAGCTAAATCGGTTCAATCGTTCTTGAGTTATAACAAGTGGAGTAACTAACACGACTTTCTTTTATATATGTTACGGTCAAAGTGATAAATGTGAAAATTATGAATAATCGCCGGTTATTATGAATAATTACCGCATGATTTGGTAAATGTGATTAATATGAGGTCATTTATGTGTGTATAAAACTAAATAGGCGGCTTAGGGGTGGCCCAAGGGCCACCCCCGCCGCACCTTAACCTATTTTTCGCTTTAAATCAAAACATTATGTTATAGGCATCATCGAAAAGTAATATTATGCAAGAAACATTCCAAACTCATTATGCCATATTATATTAATATACGATATCAAAACGTTCAAAAGTTTGGCTGTACACGAGCACGTACACAAGATGTTGTTCTCTTTTATGAAATTTGTTAGTACTAAGGTTGAATTATTAAATAATCACTGTTAAATGTGATTAATTTATCACTTTTACCGCGACTGTCGGTAATTATTCATAATAACCGGTTATTATTAATAATTTTCAATTTATCACATTAACCGTAACATATATATGTATAGATTTTGTCATACAATTTGTCAGGACCTCCGTCGTAAGCGGGCCGAGCTCAGCGTGGCTCTCCGCAAGCAGGCTCGCGATGAGCAACTCCTCAAGCGACGGGCCATGTCTCCGGAGGCCGGGGAAGAGGTCCAGCCGGAGGAGAAGGTGATGACTCCTGCTGAGATCGTTAAAGGTAATATATCATGTTATGTTGTATGAAAATTTTTATAAATATTAATTTGTTGTAGGATTATGCTTGGTTAGTTAACTAGGCGTTATTTAAAATCTCATAAAACTGACTTTATTTTTGCAAGTAGGAAAAAGCACTTTTACATTGTCCAAGGTAGATTTTAAAAATACCTGACTCAAATTGTGAGTTACCAGTTTAAAATCCAGATATTTCGTATTGTATTTTGAATTTTAATAGCAAAATACTCTTATAAAAACATAACCCTCCTTCTGACACAGTCTGTTAATTATGGGCTTATAGTTAATAGCTTTCCGCCCGCGGCTTCGCCCGCGTGGAATTTTGTCGGTCACAGAAAAACTTTATCGCGCGCGTCCCTGTTTCAAAAACCGGGATAAAAACTATCCTATGTTCTTTCCCGGGACTCAAACTGTCTCTATGCCAAATTTCATCAAAATCGGTTGCGAGGTTTAAGCGGGAAAGCGTAACAGACAGACAGACAGACAGACAGACAGACAGAGTTACTTTCGCATTTATAATATTAGTTGGGATTAGTTGGGATAAAAATTTGGTACTAATTAATTTCGTTTGGACCTGTCATCCAGTCAGTCAGTTGTTTTAGAAATCCTTGGGGAGGCCATTTTCAATTAAATTATTGAGTACTTCTCTTGTTAATCAAAGTTCTATCTATCTCCAGGGCTCCACTCCCAAGACCTGTCCATCAAGACGGTAGCCGCCCGCGCCGCTCGCCGAATGCTCTCCAGGGAACAGAATCCGCCGATTTCCATCATGGTAGAAGCTGGTGTGCTCAAACCGCTGGTAGACGCCTTGGACCGCGATGACTGGTGAGCTTTTAGGGTTCCGTAGCCAAAATGGCAAAAACGGAACCCTTATAGTTTCGTCATGTCCGTCTGTCCGTCTGTCCGTCTGTCCGTCTGTCCGTCTGTCCGTCTGTCCGTCTGTCCGTCTGTCCGTCTGTCACAGCCGATTTACTCGGAAACTATAAGTACTACAGTGATGAAATTTGANAATGACAGTTATATTATTTAATTGCGTGTAAAAAGAAATTTCTGTCATCTTACATATCATTAAAACGACATTGCACGACGAAAAAAATAAAATATAATAAAGGAACAGTTGCCGAGAATATTGCCGAGAAAGTTCCCGAGAATATTCTCGGGAACACTGAGAATATAGCCTTTCTCTGCAAATAGGGTGTATTGTTTAATATACACTTATCTGTCGACTTAATTTAAAACTATTTTACTTAAAAAAGTTTGTTTATTTCCATTTGATAAACATGATTCTCAACCTTTCTCACTTAGGAGAACGCTCTCGAGAGCGCTCCCGAGAATATTCTCAGTGAGGAGAGCGTTCTCGGGAACGGCACATCAATAAACTAGCCTATTGCACGAGCCAAAAATATTTAGTGTTTACATACAGATAAGTTGGTAATTATTATTTATAGAAAAAGTAATACCTTAATGTTATAGAAATGCACGGTTGAGCTGTAAGTGATGAATCCCACTCTTGTCCACGTTTGACCTGTCTGAGGGTCTTTTGGCATCGCCTGGAATAAAACATGCGTAAACACATTATAGCCCGACCAGGAACATAAAAACCCTCGCCATGTTGCGGAAAACTAATGGTACTAATTTCTTTTAATGGCAACAGTAACTGAAAACTTCATTGACATGTCACCTTGCACGTCAGTCTATTGCTGTCAAAGTGTAAACAAACTTTATTTTAAATGTGCGCAATTGATTTTGTGAATTAAAATGCTAAAATATTTTTATAGTCGTGAAAGAAAAGTGGTTCACTATGTGTTAAAGTATATGTCGAAGAGAAATACTAAGGGTTCGGACAATATTTTCATTGAATAATGTTTCCGACAAAGGTTGTCAAATTGACTGACATGTTTATCGCATAGTACAGTCCACTATGAAAATTAGCTGTGGTTTGTTTTAACTACTTATTTAAAAAAAAAATTGTCACTTTCTAAGTGTTGAATTTTATGGAATTGGGAAAGAAGTACCGAGTTTGAAGCACAATAGCACTTATAACAACTGCACAGTGAAAGAGCGGGAGCAAGTGTATTCACCTCGATAAATTCGGAGATGTTGTCGCAAACTGTCTGCAGCAGGCCGCTCTTGACAGCGTTGTATGACACGTCGATCACGAAGATTATCGCAGGCGGGTTCGGTAGCGTGTTGTTCTGCAAGATTACATTACATTACTAACATCAGTCTATGATGTATGAAACGCATTAATTAACGAAGAAACAGTAAAAATACACAAACATATACATCGCAGTAAATGAGAAATAGGTAATTTAAAACACCTTTCATCATGTAACAACTGGCCTTAAATCTTTGAATGGGATAGATCATAAATGTAAATACATACAAGTATGTTTCGCATCAGTTATAGGGTTATAGGATAACTGAGCAATGCCTGAGATATGGGAGCGGCACAACATTAACATATTATGACATGGCAGAGCGTATAAATCTGAAGCATATTTGAAGTCTCCTTTGACGTCTCAAAAATACCCTCCCGTGCCGCTCCCAGACCTCAGGCACTAAGTTAAGCCCTATTATCTATTACTAGCTTTCCGCCCGCGGCTTCGCCCGCGTTGAATTTTGTCTGTCACGGAAAAACTTTATCGCGCGCGTCCCTGTTTCAAAAACCGGGATAAAAACTATCCTATGTCCTTTCCCGGGACTCAAACTATCTCTGTGCCAAATTTCATCAAAATCGGTTCAGTGGTTTAGGCGTGAAAGCAAGACAGACAGTTACTTTCGCATTTATAATATTAGTATAGATTAAGAGAGTAAAAGGAGATAAATTTCCCCAAAAAAAAATGCTTGAATAATAATGGGCTCAGTACAGTACCCTGCAGTACTCCTTGGTGGCGACGATCTCGTAAGCGCCCAGCGCCATCTCGGCCGGCATGCGTCCGTACTGCTGCATGCTGTTCACGTACTGCGTGTACTCCATTGGCACTGTTACAATGTTATAGCGATGTTAATTAAAGTTGGGTCGATGCAACTGTGTCAAAAGCTTGTGACAGATCATAATTCTTAATCTAACGATCAAATAAGATTTAATTTTATTACAGTTCGGAATATTAACTCTAAACAGTCATCATTGGTTATACAGTTACTACTTTATTTTGAACGATATTGCCTTGGTGACGATCCGAAAAGTAGAAAAATGTTAGACCTAAGATTTGAGCATGGTATTGAGAAGAAAGTAAATCAATATGACATTCTAACAAAACCTGCATGCTTATAATTTATAAAACAAAAGACGACAAGGGCTCAATAAAAATGAAATTACAAAAGATAGGACATCATTATTGTGAGTAAATCAAAGATCAAAACTTACCCTCAGTAGTAGCCTTACAGAAGGCACACTTGAAGTGTCTGCCGGCGTCAATAAACTTCATGTTCGGGCACATGTAGGCCTTGCAGCGGCAGCAACGCACAGGGCCCATGGTCGGCGAGTTGGTCAGCGCTGCGAAGTCCAACAGTGGTGGCTCCAATTCTGTTCCCACTGTTTCGGCCATTGGGGCTAGCTGTGGACGGAAATTACATTCAATTATGAATCTATTGTCCCCTAATCTTTAGATCTATATTCGAATGGAGACATTGCTCGTAGAGACGATGGCCGTTGGGGCAGAAAAGTTCTCGAGTGGCGACCACGGGCTGGAAGACGTAGCGTGGGCAGGCCTCCTACTAGGTGGACCGACGATCTGGTGAAGGTCGCGGGAAGAGCCTGTAAACGGGCAGCGCAGGACCGATCATTGTGTAAAACCTTGGAGGAGGCCTTTGTCCAGCAGTGGACGTCATTCGGCTGTCATTCTAACAGATACCGATCTATAGATCTCATTAGAACATTCAAGAACAATATTCTGCAAGTATGCAATTCCTTCCATTTCCTGACTCATAAAAGGATTAGCAAAGTCCAATGAGGGTTTTCGCGATTGAAAAATCCGCCAGATGGCAATACGTAGACGCGAGGTCCAAATGCTGCGTGATTGGTGGATTTTGACATATTATCTGTCAATGTCATGTCAAAAATAACCAATCATACAGCATTTGGACCTCGCGTCTACGTATTGCCATCTGGCGGATTTTCCAATCGCGAAAACCCTCATTAATACTCTTTAAGTTAAGTTTAGCTTAATCATAGTAAATTGTGAAAAAGTCGTGTTAACAGTTATTATAGTTAGACGAATTAAATGAAAGTTTACTTACAACCAAGCAGAAAGGCATCGAGGTCTGTTTGAGCAAATCAGCCGTCACTGGCACGCTGTACATTGAGCTCCTTATGTACCGAGGACCTGGAAAAGAAATGTTGTTTACGTTACCTTATTTTAAAATTAATAGACATTGTATTTGCATTGTATGATGACAATAATATTTAATCTTTATTTAGGATCTTTGATGAATTCTCAAATCTATCAGAAGTACTTCTTGATATAATTAAGTACAATAATAAAAATGCCAATAAGTTTTCATCACTATCCATGCACTATTACCAGGAGGTATTTTTTTTTCTTTAGTCTACAGACGCCGATATGAAACTAAAAAAGTCATGCAGTAGGTAAGCCCGGTCTGTGAGCACGTAGAATGTTGTCCAATGACCCCAAGCTACCCATCTTTATCGCTCGCGCGTAATTATATTGCTGTCGCGACTGTGCGACGGGCGCCCGCAGTGAGTGTGCGAGCGCGACACAACATAATTACGCGCGAGCGATAAGGATGGGTAGCTTGGGGTCATTGGACAACATTCTACGTGCTCACAGACCAGACTATAGTGATAAAAATGTATAATCTAATGTGATATCAACTACACTATGGATTTTTGAATAGATATTACACAAACTCACTGGCATTTCCCTTGTCGTCGACGACGAAGTCGGTGGTGACGAGCGGCGGCACTAAACCCTTCTCGTTCGTCACGAAGATGCCCCCGCGGTTTTGTTGGTCGTCGGCCATTACTTGGATCTACAAATGAAATCAAGAAATAAAACATAAGCGTCGTAATGGAACCAGAAATTATAAATAGTGACTGAGTTTGTTGTGGCGCTTCTTCTCAGCACTTGCCAAATGTTTGTCTCGAAGCTCTGGTAGGGCAAAAAAAGAATGAGACATGTATAGGCTCCTTAAGACCATTTGACGATTTGTAAGTACTATTTGAATTTGTCTATCCAAATAAAGATAATTTTGATTTTGATTTGATAAATAGGAATATATCATGGAATTAGACTGAACCTAAGCTATTACAAGGCGGCGTCGCAAGCAACATTATTTCGTAAGATAAAGGGCTCTTTCAAATTAGACGTTTTGATCCGGACGATTGTAGGACGTATGCAAGTCCGCACACTTACTATTGGTACTTGTCTATTTTATTCCAACGCAATTATACAACTTTCCGTGTGCGATACGACAACCGTCCGTCTCAAAATGTCTAATTTGAAACAGCCCTTAAACTAAAGACATAAGGTGCAGATTTTATCGACATCAAGTTAATGACCTCATTAGATTAATGATGATGAAATGACATAATTAACAAAACTTTTAATAATAATAATAACTTACCGGACTAGGCATATTGTCAGGGTCAAGCCTCTTCTGCGGCTGCTGCTGACCAGGGTAACTGGGCTGTTGACCAGGGAACGGCGGCTGCGGAGGATATCCCGACTGAGGTTGCTGGTAGCCCTGTTGAAAACCCGGCTGCTGGCTCACTGGAGGCATCCCTGGATACTGTCTTTGCTGGCCGAGAGGCGGCGGCATGTGCGGCAGACCAGGCATGGATTGGTATTGCTGCTGCATGCCCGGTTGAGGTGGCATCCCTGGTTGAGGAGGCATTCCAGGTTGTGGCGGCATCCCAGGTTGTGGTGGCATTCCCGGTTGCTGCATTCCTGGTTGCAGAGGCATCCCTGGTTGTTGCATTCCTGGATGCGGCGGCATACCCGGTTGCGGTGGAAGACCGGGCTGGTGCATCCCAGGCTGAGGAGGCATTCCGGGTTGAGGAGGCATACCAGGCTGTGGAGGCATGCCAGGTTGCTGCATCATGGGTTTGGGTTGCATCCCAGGTTGGGGTGGTAAGCCTGGTTGAGATAAACCTTGAGATGGCATGCCTGGCTGTGACGGCATGCCAGGATGAGGCGGCATACCCGGGTGGGGCGGCATACCAGGATGAGGAGGCATGCCTGGCTGATTTAACCCTGGTTTCTGAGCCTGCTGGCCGGGTTGGGACGGAAAACCAGTCTGTGGTTGCGGGGGCATTCCAGGTTGCGGCGGAAGCCCTGGCTGCTGCATACTTTGCTGAGGAGGCATGCCCGGTTGTGGAGGTAAACCGGGCTGACTAGGGAACCCAGGTTGCCCTGGCTGACCATGAGGTCCAGACTGCCCCTGTTGTGGAGGAAAGGGTGGGCGACTTGAATCCGAACTGGATTCTGGCTGAGGAGGTAAGTTTGAGGGACCGGACCGTGAACTTGGAGGCATGGGCCCCGGTTGAGAAGTTAGCGGTCCGGAAGGCTGCGGGGGGAGCCCCGGCTGACTCGACGGGGGAACCATCTGTGGTGGAAGACCTTGTGGTGGACCTTGCCCCGGCTGTTGAAAGCCTGGGTTCATCGGCCCTGGAGGGCCGGGCTGCCGAGCCATCGGCCCGGACTGCGGCGGAAGACCTGGTTGCGAGTGGGGTGGCATCTTCCCGGAACCCAAAGGTTGCTGACTGGCTTGACTCATCGGGGGACCCTGCATCGACGGAGGCCCTTGCGAAAACTGGTTCGGAGTCTGACTTGGTGGTGGCATGAAACCTGGATGCGATGTAGGCACAGGGCCCGGTTGAGAGGACGGGGGGCCTTGTTTTTGGGGGGGCATCATCTGTGGGGGTGCTCCACTAACTGGGGGTCGGCCTGGAGGGAACTGGCCCGGTGGCCTTTGACCAGGTGGTAATTGGCCCATCGGGAAGTTGGATGTGGGAGGGAAATTTGCTCCAGGAGGGAGTTGCCCCGATGGCATCTGCGAAGGTGGGAAGCCCGGTCCGTTGATATTCATTGTCTGCATTTTCTGCGCCATGTCGTTCTGGTCGAATGGCTTGCCGCCCATCTGTGGCCCATTCTGAGGCATCTGGTTGAACATGTTCGCGTTCTGAACTCCGTTGAAGTCCTGCGCTGTAGGCGGGTAGCCGATGGGGTTGTTTGGTGCATTGTTATTTTGTCCGGGGGGAAGGTATTGCGAATTCATCATCTTGTTGGAAGCCACACTATCTGAAAATTACAACAAGAATATTTTGATAAAGATATTCAGAAAAGACTAAACTGCATCTCACTTAACACCAGGTACGATTGCGGTCAAATACCTGCCTTGTTATGCATAAAAAATAAGTCATATTTAGATTACACAATATAATTAATGAAATACTTTTATTTTAAACCGACTTCAAAAAAGGAGGAGGTTCTCAATTCGACCCGTATGTTTTTTTTTTCTATGTTTGTTACGCGATAACTCCGCCAATTATGAACCGATTTGAACAAATCTTTTTTCGGCGTATAGGTAATACCTCAAGGGTGGTCCCATTTAAATTTAATAATAGAAAAAACATCCCCCAAGTGTGGAAAATTGGGGATGAACTTTTTTATACGCAATATCTCCGCCGATTATAAATCAATTTGAATGATTATTTTTTTGTTGAATAGGTATTATCAAAAGGGTGGTTTCATGCGAATTTGAAGAAAATATTTCACCCCCAAGGGTGGAAAATTGGGGATGAACTTTTTAATACGCAATGTTTTTAATTTTTAGTTTTTTTTTGTGTTCAGGCATTTGAAGTCGGTTTTATTTTTTTTAAAAGTTAATTATATATTTGTATTATTCATTAGAGAGCACTGTGCAAAATGATAAATTAATTACAAATAGTATTAGTATAGTCTAATTGGAAAACAAGTAATAATGTATCAAACATTTCCTATTTTTCCTAGTATTTCTTTTCCTGTTAGAAACTGGGCACAGAACAGTTTCATCAGTTGGAAGTTTAGCAGCAGATTTTGAGCGTTCTTTTTGATTATTTATTGTTATAAGCACTTGCTGTTTAACCTTTGTATGCTCCAATTTCCATCAGTTCTGATATCATTGTAGTTACATACAATTCACTCAATAATCATTTTTATAGCTAAACATTGTTTTGAAAGTATGTCATTGATGATTTAATTGCCTATAGGCAACTTGTGCCATTTATGTTAAAATCTTACAATTTACAACGGTATTACAAGGAGTAGAAAGTATATTTTAACTTCAGTGATTTTCCATTTTTACTATGGCTTAGTCTACGTTGTTTAGGGTCACAACCTTTGACCTTACGTATTTATCGAACTTTCTAATTTTAAATGTAAATTAGAATGTATAATTTAAGTCATTAATAACTTCATATTGGTTTTGTACATAAAAGTATCGAGGAGTTATCAATACAGTACAAATCCTGTCATTCAAAGACTGATAACAATTATTGTTTTTAACCCTATGCTATACAAGAAAGTATAACAATATTCTGTTCCTGAATGTGAGAGCTGTTGCTATTGTATCTCAACACCTCATAAAGACCAAAACTATCACAATTATTACAAATGGAAGTGAAAAAACTAGTTTGTAATTAACTGAAACAAGTCGCGACAAACCAATTATTTCACCACGAAAACATTCAAATTTAGATATTTTATTCACCGATGACGCACTTACTACACTTGGAGATTACAGCAAAAAGCTTTTTTTGTCATAATTTCACAAAATACACAGAGAATTTCAGATAAATTCACGAAATCCTGGATGATGAAAATGACAGCTGCCATGTAACTTTGTAAATAACTTTGGCAATGATTTAACACTTTTTGTGGATCCAAATTTGCAGGTATAATGTCACACACTATTATCTTTATGTACTTACGGCTTCAAAAGCGATTTTTGTCGAATTATTGCAATAAAAAATATAAACAAGAGGCACAAATCTCGTAAACCTTCGGGCCACGTATTCTGACATACGGTGTTGTCAGTGTCTCACCGCCTATGTGGAACTTTTGAAGTTTCACTACTTGAGCGTATAATGGAACGCAACTCCACAAGAAATTCATGATTTATTTACCAGTTCGTATCACTTTTAAACATTCTGATCCTAGAAATTGTTTCAAATGGAATAAATTATTATTTCCATTGTCTTATTTTCATATTTTGCATATTTTTTTCTGTCCTAATTAAAAGCTCCAGTAAAAATAATGCTTAAAACGAAATGTCTTTATTAGCAATGGCAACGTGATACTTGAAATGTCATATTTCTCATTAGTTTAGTGCAAAATCAACCTTAAGCGTATCTCGTTACGGTGCAAATTATTTTGTAAATAACACTGCTGAAAAATCACTGTTTTTCATTCATCGAGCAGACGAGCAGTAAACTAAAAAAATATATTTTATTTCAATACGTATACTAAATACATCTTACTTCTATTTGTATTGTGTACATGCATAGGTATACAGTAATAGGGAAAATACCTACATCCATATTTATCTTTATCAGTCTTCACAAGCCTACAAGGTCTTACATGGTCTTACATGGGTTTATCTAAATTAGGTAGGCATTCCATGCTCGTGATCATTATTTTCATCTTTATAACAATGCTCAGCATTCGCGGGAATCGTGTTTTATCAACAGTAAAAATGTTGACCGGGCGCACACCTCACCACACCCCGCGCAAGCGTGGTATGTCTAAAAGAGGGATGTGCTTGTAGATATCGACCAATCGTTGAGTTTCCTTGGAAGAAACAGCTCGATGTATCGTTTGTTATTTCATTAATTAATTGATACAGATTTAGCACGTGAGAGGATGATGAATGATTTCGTATAAATAGGATGGATGAGTAAGGCCCGCAATTTATTTCCTACCTTACCTGCTTCTGTTTATCCGCCACGTCACAATGTTTTGTTGAAAGAGCCAAGAGGTATGCCGTAGGTACGAGAAGGGTGAATCTTTTTACGATAAGAAAATGCCAGGTATTCGGCAATATCATCATCAAGCACACACACCACACAAGATCTCTACCTAAACTTACATTATCGAAGACATCATTTGAATCGAGAATTCGATAAGTCTCGTTTGATTCATAGACATCGATGTTTTTGGAGCCTCACTGCTCTCGTAACCCACCCTCTATCGATTTGCACCGTGAAAGCCTAATTTTGCTTGTTTGCTCTTTCCCTTACGTTTCACTGGACATTTCACTTGCTCTCACGACCTCAAATTTCAACCCTATTTATATCAAACCAGAACGTAATTCACAATACGGGCGTTTGCGTTGTTAGGGCCCTAGTAAACTAGAACGAAATCTTCAGGAAAATTGTAGCGTTTACGAAATTGAACCTCAATGTGCATAGCATAGGAGTGAGTTTCAGAATGAAACTAGTGAAAGGTGCTTCTGAAATCGCCCTGAGATAGTTGAAGCAGTGTTCAGCTGAAAATGGGGATCTGTTCCGGATTTTCAGACGTGCCATGCTGAGGATCGTACTCTAACGGTAGGAGATGTGGTAGGATATGGTGGCTGGCGTTAGGATGTGATACTGGCGTGTGTGGAACTGGTAGGACGTGCAGTGTGAAGCAAAAGGCATAGTTCGCGGACTCGATAACCTGGGTAAGTGAAGACGTGTTAAAAAGACACATAATCACGAATATCTAAGTGAAGAAATGTTAGAATAATGTAATATTAGACTTTTTGTGCTAAAAATATGTGGAAGGTGAAGGGATGGAGGGGTAGGATAAGTAGATCATCTACAACCACCTACATTGATGGAAATAGATCAATTAAAAATAGATGACCTTTTTTCGCTTGCTTCTTTTACGAAAAGGTGTTTTTTTTTAACCAAAATGTAGCTACTTAGTTTACTTAACTACTTATGCTTAAAAATTGGTCTGGTGGTGATAGAATTGTAGTTACCGTATTTAGTCGTCCAATGAGTTTAGTAGGCATCGTTAGTTTTCTATCGGTACTGAAACTACCCACCCATCACCGATGCTGAAGGTACCAGAACTACCAGAGCGCCACGAACACATGTTCGTCACGGAAAAGTTGCGAATAGGGCATCATGACACACTGAAACTTGAAAAGACCGTAAATTAAAACGCTCATCGAGCAATAAAACAGCTCATAACGCGTCGTGTTCATTGTAAAACATCCATAATCATGAAAGCGCGTCAGGTGTCACGACGCGCTGCCACAACACGCGTGACAGTAAAACCATGGCTGCCGCAATTTACCGCGAAAAACTTCCCCCTTGTGAATCATACAAGCCTCTTAATACCAAAAAGAAAATAATCCATCATCTTTATTCCAGCCACCATCATGCTGCTCCTGATCCTGGCGCTCGTCAGCATCACGCAGGGGACTCCCCAGAAGCCGAATCTGGACGCCATCTTGAACCGAAGGACTGACGTCTACATCGCCGGCTTCTTTCCTTTTGGGAAGGGCGTGGAAAACTCCAACACTGGTATCTATCTATTGATAATTTTGACACTTGCTACATACCCTAAGTAGTGCTAAGTAGTAGGTTTACTTTTCGTTTCAGCCAAATGACGTCCACTGTTGGACAAAGGTCTCCCCTAAGGACTTCCACGTGGACTGGTCCTATGCTGCCCGTATTCAGGCACCTAGCTCCCGCGACCCTCAACAGATCGTCGGTCCACCTAGTGGGAGGCCTGCCCACACTACGTCTTCCGGCCCGTAGTCGCCAGTCGCCACTCGAGAACTTTTCTGCCCAACGGCTATCAGCTCTATGAGCTATGTTGGTTACTAAATAAGTAGGTAGTAGTCTATAGCCACAACTTCTGTGGACAGTTTGCCGTACCTACTCCTTGATTGGAGCATATTAAAGTATCAGATTTTCAATAGTTATTATTATAAGTGTTTCTCAAGGATAAGTTTTATGTAGAGAACCGTCTAAGTATGGGCACAGATAATATAATACTAGGTATGGGGGTAGGACTTGTCATGTCAAGCAGAATATTTTATGTGTTCAGACAGTAGATCAAAGTTCACGGTACAACCCATTAAATAAAGTTTGGCTTTTGTTTGTTAGAGGTTTGATCAATACTACGAGTATATTATCATGATTCGTGTTGAATATTTCACGAACTACCTACTTATTAGGTACCCAACTAAAGTTGCACATGTGAATGTTGTATGAAGTTTTGCCCAAGCGGGCTAATCTTACTGAATTCGTCTTGACGGTAGACAGATAGGCATTTCCCACGACAGCACTGAACTGTGTGAATGATTTATTACTCTGACGAATATTTTGTGTGCCTTCTGCAGTGTTTCGTCCACAATTTTATCTACATTTTCGTCTTGAGAGTCTTGATTGTATGGCTTGAAAACCTTGAAATATTCAAGAAGTTGAGGAATCTCGCTTATTCGCTTAGAGATGTTCGTACTTCGTGCGACCGTTAGAGTAGGCGCACACCGTTGATTTTTCGTCGGCCGATAGTTTAGTCGGGCAGTTGATCAGTATGGGCATGAATGGGAGTGCGCACACCGCGCCGATTCGATTTGGCCGATTCTTCATACAATTTAAAATCGGGCACAACTATCGGCCAACTAAAAATCAACGGTGTGCACCTATTCTTAACGATCTGCCGAAACTCGCTCGCAGTAGGCATAAAAAATCAAACAAATCAATGATTATGATTCTTACGCCTGATTCCCGCAAGTCCCGGGGTAGTAACCCCGGTATCGTCAATAATCGTCATCGAGTCATATTGTCATCATTCCTTATTGCATTATTTTTATATGATCAAACGAACTTACCAAGTGAAGTTCGATCTCAATTATCCTGTTTTCGCCAAAAAATGGCTACTGGGTAACATCTCGCATTACCTCGGAGCAAAAGAATGGCTACTGGGTAACATCTCGCATTACCTCGGAGCAAAAAATGGCTACTGGTTAACATCGCGCGTTAACTTGGAGCTAAAAATGGGTCAAAGTTACGCGTCGTGTCACAACGCTTATAATAAAAATGTACGAGCACTTGCACAAAATAGTTGTTACAACCAACCTTGTGTTGGGTCTAATTCTCGTCACTACACTGCACAACTTAAAATAATTACGTTTTATGTCGGTAAAAACGTCCTGGTGACGTCACTTAAGCATTTTTCTTATACTGCGTGCGGTCGTTGCGCGTGCGCACAAAGTAATGGGACCGCTCGGACACCGAGCCCACAGCGTGGTAGGGGTGGGGTTGCCCGCTCTTTTGTTTTTTACTACTACTACGCTGAATATTGTGTGCGGATTGGCTTGTCGTACAGGGGTACTACTACACGGTAAAATAAATCTCGGAGGCGAAAGCAGGATAATGTTATGTTTCTTATGAATGTGTGCTCAATTTCCCGTGAACACTGCCGTAGGTCGCGGGGTGATGCCGAGCGTGAAGCTGGCGCTGGACCACGTCAACGAGCACGACTCCGTGCTGAGGAACTACCGCCTGCACATGTGGTGGAACGACACTGAGGTAACGCTCCAGTACCTACTTAATGCTTCAACCACACCAACGCGTGCAGGTTGCCTGCCATCGCGACGCGATCACAACGCGATCTGCACGCGTTGGTGTGGTTAAAGCTTTAGGCTACTTACTCCGCAACGCTGTTTACGTAGTTTCGTGTCTTCTGTTACTGTCGCTCATGCTGGGATCTCGCTTTGCGTGAGAGGGATGGCATTCGAAACTTCGGTTAACGTTTTTCAGAGTGACCCCGCAGGATTCATTGTGAATGATTCAGTAGCCGTACCATAATGGTGCTAATGCAAGATGCGATATTAAGCTTTAAGCTGCTATTCCGACAGTACCTGTAGCGGCAATCGTGCTGCCGCAACCGTTTTTGTGCTACTGCAGCTGCGTTTTGAAAAATGCTCCCGGTGATAGAGCACGATTAGTTTTCAACATTTTCATACATTCCGGGTGGTATTGGCCAGCATACCATTCGAGTGGAGGCGTCGATTCAACTTTTTGTAAAACCTCTTCTTTGTTTTTTCTGTGCAGTGCAACGCCGCAGTGGGGGTGAAATCCTTCTTCGACATGATGCACAGCGGCCCGCACAAGCTGATGCTGTTCGGCGCTGCGTGCACGCATGTCACCGACCCCATCGCGAAGGCTTCCAAGCACTGGCACCTCACACAGGTAAATTGACAAACGATAAACCTAGGTCTAGGATCTTTTTCAGATAGAATATAATTGTGTACATAATGAGGAAAAAGGAACATTTATGCGGAAAACGCAACGTGGGACGTCCATCCATGACCTCATGGTAGCAGGAAGGCGCTGGATGCAGACCGCTACCAACCGGCGATGTGGATCAATTTCATTGGGGGAGGTCTGTGTTCAGCAGTGGACTTCCTGTGACTGAAATGATGATGATAATTGATAACTATTTACGCCTATTGAATTCGGGTTTTTTTTTCAGTTGTCGTATGCAGATACCCATCCAATGTTCACCAAGGAAGCTTTCCCAAACTTCTTTCGGATCGTGCCGTCGGAGAACGCATTCAATCTACCTCGAATCAGGCTGCTGCAGCATTTCAACTGGACCAGGGTGGGCACTATCTACCAGAACGAGCCGAGATACGCACTGGTAGGTATTCCAGCTGAGCAAGTCGCCAGTTTAATATTTTGTCTTAATAACAGTTACAATGATTCAAAATCCAAGGCAGACAGAAAATATATAATTTTTTATTTGTAAATATTTAGTCCATGTAGGTAGATTATTTCTATGCATTTTCTATGTTTAATGTTTTAACTTTATCTATTTTCCAAAGACAGAAAATTAAATGTGAAAGTTATTCAATATAAATCTTAATATGCGTCTTGAATTGTTGACTCTACCCTCAGTCAATAATACTCAGAAGCCTAATGAAGACATTTTCCAACAGGCACACAACCGTCTCCTAGCTGATCTGGACTCAAACGGATTTCTCATAGAAGAAACTCAAAGCTTCGCGACTGAAGTGAGGACTGCCCTCTCCAAACTGAAGGAGAAAGACGTCAGGATCATTCTTGGGAATTTCAACGAGACCTGGGCTGTGAGGATCTTTTGTGAGGCTTACAAGTAAGTAATGGTCATCAGATTCAGTGATTAGTTCCCTTTTAACTTAGTTAGTTACCTAAGTATCTAAGGTGTTCCCCAGTCCAGTGTGTGTTAAATTCCTTCTATTCTCTCTTCTCTATACCTATTCCATTATGTATGATTAATCGATCTTCTTCCAGGTTGGAAATGTACGGACGAGCCTACACATGGCTCCTGCTGGGTACATACAGCAGCAAATGGTGGATGCGGCGAGCGCCGTGCTCTAAGAGAGACTTGTCCACCGCCCTCGACACTACTATCCTGACGGACCTTCTGCCTCTATCGACCACTGGGGAGATGACTGTTTCAGGGATTGTAAGTTAATCACTAGAATATTGGGTCCAGGGCTTCAGTGTTGTTTAATTACCTTAAACAGACCTTCCTTCTATATGACTGACTATACAACACCTTCTTCTTATTACATCCATTCTGGAGTTCATTACCCCTACCATAGAATTTTGAAAAATCTTACTACTGATGTAAAGTGTTAGAGAAGAGGTACAATTCGCTGAAACGTATCGAGATAGGCTTGTAAGACTTAATTTTTGTTGTGTTCTTTTCAGACTGCTAAAGATTATCAAGTGGAATATGACAGAAGACGAGGCCTAGAATACTCTAGGTTCCATGGTTACACCTATGATGGTATGTTGTATTGTTGAACTAAGTTCTTGAAGATGGACGAATATCTAAAAACCTTTATTCTTTCCAGGTATTTGGGCAATGGCATTAGCCATACAAACTGTCGCACAGCGAGTGAAGTTGAAATATAAAGAGAAAACGGTTCAGGACTTTAGATATCGGGATAAAGAATGGGAGCAGCTGTTCCTGGATGCTCTGAGCAACGTCACCTTTGAAGGAGTTACGGTAAGTTTGTCTTAAACGTGCCGAGTACCTAAACAACTTCACGAAGGAAGACTTGATTAATTCTACTGGCAATGCCACACTTGCAGAGTTTTGAGCTGATACTGGGTAGGTTTGTTGCCGTCACAACAACAACAAGAAGAAGAAACCTTAAACTAAAAATTCATCCACTCTCGCACAATTATCTTCTCCAGGGTCCAGTCAGATTCTACGACAACGAACGCAAGGCGTCTATACTGCTGAAACAGTTCCAAGGAGACCAAGTGGGAGAAGTCAAGGTTGGGGAATACTGTGCTGAGAGAGACCACCTCGACCTGACTAGCGGGGAGCCCTTCAAATGGGTGGGCAAGTAAGTAACCATTTTGATTTATCCAGATCGACTCTATGGTGTTAGAAGCTTAAGAAGTAGCAGCAAAAAAGATTCTGATTTTAGTGTATAGTGATTACTTAGTCTGTAATAACGGACTCCACGAAAAACATGTCAACAGAAATAGAAATGAATGGCGGGCCATGATTCGGATAAGCCAACCCCGTGTAACGGGAATACGGGATAATGTGAGGCAGAAGAAAAATAATAATAATAATATAATAATAATAAATAAATATCTTACACTGCGCTTCTAGTCCCAAACTAAGCAAAGATATACTAAAAAGCTATACTTATCGTGTTTCTAATTCTAAAATTTGTTTTTTATATTCAGGAATCCACCCAAAGACCGCACCCTTCGTCTGATCGAGCACACGCAGGTGAACATCACCATCTACTCCGTGCTGGTCTCCTGCTCCATCCTCGGTATCCTTCTGGCGACTGGTTTCCTCGCGATGAACATACATTATAGGAACCAGCGGTATGTCATTAGCATCTTTGATCAGCTAGTAAAGCTTATCTTAAATGCTCAAGATGATAGTCTGGCAAGTGCTCGTAATAGTTTTGTTTCCTCCTAACTCACGGATAATGAAAAGAAAAGCTACAATAAACTTGGAAATACTAACAGTTATTAAATGAATGACCATGCAAAACATTATTATAGTGATTCTCCTGCACCTGAAAGTAAGAGAAAGCTGAAGGAAAAAGCGAGCGATAAACAAAGCGAAATGTAATATAGCAGAAGATTTGTCTTTTTGGTAAAATAAATTGTTCCATAACCAAGCAAGTTAATTCAAATGTTGCAGAAGATTGAAGTCATAATCATATCTGTTTGCATAATCATTAATTGTCATAACTAACTGAACTTCTCTTTCCATTCCAGGTACATTAAAATGTCTTCACCTCACCTGAACAATCTGATCATCGTGGGCTGCATGCTGACGTACCTCAGCGTGGTATTCCTCGGTCTGGATTCCAGCCTCAGCAGCATCGGTACGTACGGCCCACGCCCAGCCGTGGCGTTGACTGTTGTGTTCCTTACCGCATTGTCACTGATATTTCTGTTCTCTCTGTCTGTGGATGGAAGGTAACTCATGATACTCATCGCATTAGATTTTCACTGAACAAATTGTGAAACTGCCTTGTGTTAATCGCAAAGTACCTATGTTCTTCTAAGCTTTCCATTGTGTTGAGGTAAGAAGGAACAGTTGCATAATGGGAAAAACATTGGTGACTTATTGGTTTTATTTATCACTACATTTAGGCAACTGTTACATCTTCACAAAGGTGTCGGTTAAGACAAGGCAAACAAATCATTGATCAACAAAATAAAATTGACAAAACTAAATTGAAATTCTAAAAATGGCGCACTCAAATCGGCATGTCGCTAGCACATCATCGATCACGCCGTTGTTTCATTTGATCTCATCAAATTCATTATCCTTAGGTCTTTCTCAGGAAACGCCACACGGAGGTAATAGAGCTTGTTGACCCCCGGCTTGAGCTTCCCCCCTCGATGTGGTTCCAACCAAATTTTGGGAACTTCAAACCCCCTGTCTTTAGTCTAGTTCCTTATTCTGAGAAAGACCTAGGTCGTTTTCTAGGTCACAGGAGTCGACAGCATGTTTCCAAGTTTTGGTTTCGTTTTTCCTTTGGCTTCTGTCGCGAAGCTTCTGTGGTTCGGTGGTATGTGACGATTTCATGTTCTTATAGCTTGATCATCTTCGAAACGCTTTGTGGGTATGTTATCTTCTGCTTTCTTGATTAATTCTTCGATTTCCTTTGCATCTTATTTTGGTCATCTTCTAAAAGTGATATTTGAATGCTTATTTTAAAAATTAATTTCTATTGTATTGTGTTTTAATGTAAGTGCTGTTTGATTTGCGGAATACATCCCAGTGCATGTTCTAAATTGACTGTAAAACTAAAAATATAAAAGTATCCTTTACATGCACACTGAAACAAAAAAGCGTAACAATACTATCAAAATGTATCATACACAAATTGATTTGACCGTACAATGGTGATCGTTACTTTTATATTGAACCCTGGTGTTCACAGCTGCTTTCCCATACATCTGTACTGCCAGAGCCTGGCTTTTGATGGCTGGTTTCAGCCTGGCTTTTGGAGCCATGTTCTCAAAGACTTGGCGCGTCCACTCCATCTTCACGGACGTGAAATTGAACAAAAAGGTAACTTTAAATACCATCCGTATCTACCAGCATTGACTTCTCCGTATCAGCATTTGTAACGCCATGTTTGTTTACAGGTAATCAAGGATTATCAACTGTTCATGGTGGTGGGTGTTCTGCTGGCCATAGACCTTGCCATCATGACCACGTGGCAGATTTCAGACCCTTTCTACAGGGCAACCAAGCAGATGGAGCCGTATGTGAGTATCCAAGTCCTGTTATGATGCGAGGAATTATATTCTTTGTTTAGGCGATTATGTTGTGTTCAAAAATACCTATGATAAGGTGGTGAAGATCTAATCCCTTGTTCTATTGCAGCCACATCCTTCAAGCGAAGATATCGTCATAGTCCAAGAAAACGAGTACTGCCAGTCAGAAAGGATGACCATTTTCATCGGAATCATCTATGCTTACAAGGGTCTTTTGCTGGTATGTAGAAAGACTTCGTGCACATCGATAAAGATGGACCACTTCAGTGATTTTGAATCGCGATCATACCTACACTAAATGTTCCGTTTTTCAACTGTAGAAGTACTTACTGGAGTTAACGAGACACAAATACAGCAGATAGGATCTTTTGTTCCTTGATTTGATGATTGTTTTCAGGTTTTCGGAGCGTTCCTGGCGTGGGAAACCCGTCACGTCTCCATCCCAGCCCTCAACGACTCGAAGCACATTGGACTGTCAGTCTACAACGTCCTGATCATGTGCATCATGGGAGCGGCTATTGCCTTGGTGAGTTCATGTTTCGGTCTTCTGGTATTGGATGTTTGGTTTGATCTTATTTAGAATTTATATTATACTAGCTTTCCGCCCGCGGCTTCGCCCGCGTGGAATTTTGTCTGTCACAGAAAAACAATATCGCGCGCGTATTTGTTCACCGTTTAGACCTACCCTGGACTACGACAAACATTTTAAAACCAAAATCAGCTCAATCGGCCCAGCCGTTCTCGAGTTTTAGTCAAACTAACGAACATCAATTAATTTTTATTTATATAGATTTGTTATCTTTTCAGGTGTTATCAGATCACAAGGACGCTCTGTTCGTCCTAATTGCCATCTTCATAATATTCTGCACCACGGCTACACTGTGCTTGGTGTTTGTGCCAAAGGTATTGTATAATAACTTATTGTCATCTTGTATATCAATTGGAATAGTTTCTCTGTATAAATACAGTAAGCTATCTCTGTCCTCGTGTCTTATGAATTTATCCTCGTCTATATGAGAAAAATGCCACTCAGAATTGAACAAAACAATATAATTTGCTTCTAAAACAAGGTCATTTCGTCATTCTTCCAGCTCCTAGAACTCCGCCGCAACGGCCAACCAGGAGCAGCGCCCAGCAGGATCAGAGCCACTCTACGACCTGCCTCCACTCACGAGTGCAGGTCTCCAGGTCCTGAGCTCGAGAGGAGGTTGAAGGAACTAAGGCAGTACAACAATCGATATCGGCGCACGCTGCAGGCGAAGGAAAATGAACTACAGGTGAATTGCATGTTTAGTATTCTATTGCAAGAAATCTTGAACCTCTATGTCTACCGTAGAATGATAAAGACGTAATCATGCCCATAATAGACAGCAGATTATACATAATACACCTGTGTTAAAGCCACCTGTTATTACTCGAATTTTGCAGATGCTGCTTAGCAAACTTGGAAGTGATGCAGGCTCAGAATCTTCAACCCGGGACTCTAGATCTCCTGCAACACAGAGGACCAGGCTTCCAGTGCCTAAAGACAACATTAGCCATCCAGGTAACTAAATCAGAATGTTGTTCACTACCACTAATACACACACCACTAACCAGGGGGCGTAGTGTCGTAAAAAAGTGGCATTATGTTGTATGACGGATTTTACAGCGTCAGCGCCCCTAGCGGGAAAGTTTCAAGAACTAAAATCTTCATATATTTTTTCAACGCGCTCGCTAGTGACGACGTTAAACTTTGATGTAAACTCACACTAAGCCCTCAGAAGTAGTTAGAAGGAACTAAGCTATCAATTCAATGTTGCAGAAACCAGTGATATTACGTCAGTCTGCAGTCTCAGTGCCTCAGCTGGAGCAGAAGCGGAATACATCAACCTACAGAATCAACAATCTGCTGAAAAGTAAGTCTACTCATCATCACTTCTAACTTTCGAGTTCTTCATAAAGAAGAACCAAGTTCTTAACAATCTAAGGAAAAGTTTGCAATGCTAGTTAGTAGTGGTGGTAAGAGCTAAAACATAACCATCTTAACTCTCAAGTATCTTCTCATCTTCATAGGCCAAAGCCTTCAGCTCCTCCAGAACCATTGAAGGAACCACCTCCCAAAGAGCCAAAGAAGGAGCAAACCAAGAACGTTTCCTTCAAGAATCACTTGGACTACACCAGCCCACCTGCTTCAAAAGCTGTTCCTGAAAAGGATCAGTTGGCAAAACTGCCTTATGGGTGGACAGCTGAGGTGGTAAGAACTGAGGTACTTAATTAGCTTTTGAAGATTCCTTTCAAACAATTTACATCACATAAGAATGCAATTTTAATGTCCAAAATGCACCACATATTGGGTCGCTCACAACTCACAAATCACACAATGTATTCAAAATTATGCGCACTAATAATACCTTCACCCTTCAGGATAACGTAGAACCCACGTCCAAAATGTCCACCAAGATGTCGGAGCCTATCAAGGCCGAAACTAAAACCATATCCGCCCTGAAACCCAGCGACACCCCCACTGCCAAATCGATGCCTGCCAAAATCCAAGAGCCAATGTACACGAAAGCTGCAACTCCTAAAGTAAACAAGGTAACTGTCCAACATAACTGTTGATTTAAGTATATTTTGTAACAAAGGCCAGACCAGCCACCCAGAGCACATCTTTAAGCCATCTCTAGAGGATAGAGGATGATCCTTTCCTTTTTAATGGATACCCTTCTCGGTTTTGTGGTGGTTATCTGCGTATCGTATGGTGTTATTGTCTTAACTTGTATTATTTACATTTTAAGAGTGGGTTTTTCAATCAGGCGATTATAACGCACTTATGCATGCATGCGGGATAATATTGCAGCAGATAAGAAAGCGATATGACGTTATTCTGTGATTTACCAGACTCCAGAACTCCAAAAGAAGACCGTCAAGACCCAAGATTCCTTAACCAAGACGACTCCATCCAGGGATCATAAGTCTGCACCCCGAGGGCACAGGAGGATGTCCAGCCTCAGTCAGGGGGCTTTGCTGACTGACCTGATGCACGTGTCAGTAGACCAGGACGACCTCGAGCCTCCGCCTGGCTTGGAGAGGAAGGTCATAGGTGAGTTTAGTCATCCCATTCAAGATAAAAAGTTTCATTCATCTCCATCTTGGCAATAAAGGCCATTATGTCAAGTCAGTTTCTTTTCTCTGTGGTGAGACGAGGTTACGAGAAAGAGACTAGTCTCAAACTCAACATTTTATTTGCCATTAAGAGTAGAGTACGGGTACAGATGGAATACAGGAAACCTAAAAATATCTAAGTTTAAGGTTTTATTAATTACTTAGGTCCTTTTCAGGGCGCTTTATACACGTCCCAAATATGGCTTGCCCTACTACATCGGGACAACATAATGGGCTGGTGCTGAGAAGAAGTGGCGGAAGAAACTTAGTCACCATTTGTCAGCCTTATCAAATACGTAATTGGTTTAGGATTTAGGGTATTTTGTGTTAGAAAGACGAGGTTTGTTCACACCTTATTATCTTACAGGTCAAGAGAGAGATCCGCCTCCTCCATTGAAGCCGAAGGTAGAGCCAGAAGACATACTGGACACTGATCACGACTATTCCTCGTCAGAGAGGAGAAAATCATGTAAGTTTGATTTTACAGATTCCACATTACCTAGCCATAGTTTATTTGAGCTGACAAAATTCGCAATAGAAAAGACAACGGTAAGAATAGACTCGATAGGCTAAGAATGTTTATGATGCAAACGAAATCGTTAACAACAAAAACAACTTCGATAGTAGAAACTTTCGATTGCTGCTAAAATCAAGATACAATTTTCATGTAGGGTAGTTAAGAGAATCTTCACTGAAACTCATAACTCTTTCACTTTTCAACCCTCGTCGGTATTTATGCTGAATGACTGGCGTTCCCTTACAAGGCAGTATTGACTGATCGATTTCATTTCAGGCCAAAGAAAAGATTCAGAGCGGAAAAAGAAAGAAAACTTCATTGTGGTGCAAAGTGACCTCTGGGACACGAATACCTTCCAGTATACATGCCAGAAGACTCCACCACGTAAGCATTAAGAATAATATTATAGTGTGGACTTGACTTCGGATATAGGTATCTAGTATCTACCTATGTCCCCAGCCCCCCCTAGACAAGTAGCAAAACGTGACGGTTGTTATTTCGAAAACCCTTCGCTCTAACACGGCGATTTCTAAAATTACCTACAACTGTAACGTTTTGTACTCATAGGTATTTTTGGGAGGCTTGTAATCTAGCTTTAGCATATTAGGGTACTGATCATCATAAACGAAGCATAAACGTTAATTTAATAAAAATAAAAACAATGACAATAAAATGTAGCGTTAGCTAGCTGGCCACTAATGATTTGAATAAAAAAAGTCTTGCCTGCTATAGATAGTCTAGGACTCTAGACATTCTGGCACTGGCTGGTGAAGAAGTGAAGAACGAAGAGATTGAAGAGAAGATCAGAAGAGAAAAAAAATCTGCATTGTGATTTTGAATTAACGTGAAAGAAAGAGATGGGTATAGTGCTATTTGTAGAGCGCTATTTCATTCACACAAATGTTGCCAGAAAATTATTATACTTTCTACCATCCATATCATTAAACGATTAAAAATCTTATTATTGTTATTAATCTGAATACTAACATTACCTAAACAACTTACAGCAGTTACTACGAGTCACCACCATTCTCCGATGCAACGAAGTGTATCAGAAAAAAGTCGACAGCAACCTTCTCCACATCATCACAGGTTTATTTCAATAACTAATTTTCAGTAGTTTCTTTTAAAATAATTTTACACGTACCATTTTTTTGTCTCCAGAGCGTGTTTTTCCTTACATAATCAACAAAATTGCCTACAAAAATTGTTGAATGTTGACATGTTTTTTGTTGATTGTGTAGGGCAAAACACGCGCTGGAGACCCGGCATAAAACATAAATCTGCTTACAAATTGTATTTTATTTTGGGCTTAAAGGAATGGTGTATTTAACATTATTTTTTTGTTTCAGAGAATCTGACACAAGAAGTATGGAAAGAAGAGCTTCTAATGCTTCAATAAATTATGGTATGTATCATGGAATTTCTAGTTAAGTAGAATTTCTATATTAATTTATCATTTGAAAAAATCTGCTATAGCCTAGCTAGATTATATGCAACTAAATTTATCATTATTATTTACTTATGGGTCTTTTTCTGCAATACTGAAATAATTTATCTTTCAGCTGGTACAACACGAGGTGGCACTCCTGAAGGTTATCGAGAAGCAGAAACCCTTAGAATGACAGATCGTTTAGCAAAAGTAAGCGATAAAATATAGTTGGGGTTGGGGCAATTAAGGTATTTTGTAATACTTTATTTTTAAACTGGTCGTTTTATTTTTACAGCGCCGAGGTTCTGAATTCCCACAGCCAGTGAGCACCCCACCACATCAAAGTCAAGCCAAGAGAAGGCAATCTTCAGCTCAAGTATGTGAATTAATAGTCATACGACATTTTTGTTCTAAATGTTAAAATTTCTTTTACTGTAAACTTATTTATATTTTCTTAATTTTAGGTAAGGCCTTACCAAGAAGAACGAATAGAAAAAACAGAAACACCGCGAAGACATGATGATATTCCAAGAAAGCCTCTTCCTGAAGTTCCACAGGAAAATGATTCTTATAAACCAGACCCTGACACTATCAGGGTAACAAAAAGTCAAGATTCTCCTGCAAAGAGGTTAAGGCAAGAAGCTGAGCCCTTGAAAAGGGCTAAAGGGGTTGGTGACTCTCCTAGGTTAACGCAAGCATCACATCAACCCAGGCCGGATCATCATAAGAGTAGTCCAAATGTAGCATCTAGACACAAAACAGGTATGGATATCGTTCATTAATGACTTTTTTAAGTAAGTTTAAGTTTAAATCAGCATTTTGTAACAAATTCTTTGTTCCCAGGTTCTCCAAATAATCGCGAAGAACGCAAGTCCGCCACTTACAGCAGAGGAGACTCTAAGCGCCAAGAGTCTGTGGAGCAGCGTAAGATGTATACCGCGAGTTCAGAGTCTGAACTGTTTGAATGCGCAATTTTACCCATCTTTCACAAACTACTTACTGAAAGGCACAAAAGTCAGCCACACGGTCTCAATCTTACTTATGGTGTCAGTTGTCCGAATATTTCGATAAAGTGCGATATAGTAGAGTATTTGTAAAAGTGTGAATATTTTAGGACAATTACGAACTTTGTTGAGGATTGTTGTTACTAATGTGAAACCTGCGATGTAATGAAATGCAACAGTGAGTAGTGCCTGCATAGTACTTACTTAATGTGCACTCACTAAGTACAAGCTAAAGCCAGGTGGCCTAATCAACATAATTGTTTGATTATTTGTTGTAATTTACCGAGATTAGGTTGTCGTAGCATTTACTTAAACTGTTTTTTTTTTTGCGAGATCTACCACTGCTATGTATCATGCGATAAATTCAAAGTTAGTCCCATTACTGTTAGTATTGATGTGTAAATTCAATAAATTCATTATGAATTAGGTAATATTTAGATGAATTTGTAAAAGAAATGTACGTATATTTAAGTAAATAATTCAACGACAAGTTCGCTCACGGGTCTTTAATAGTAATTGTAAAAAGTAAATTATGTAACTTATTACATACCTCCTACCTTTTTTCATACATCGAATGTGGGTAGTGCACAAAATACTTGTTTTATGTAACTAAACGCACATTAATTTCAGAATGTTAAAAAATTGTACAAACACAACAACAGAAACACTTTTTAACTAAGAAGTGGAACGAAATTAATTATCAACTGTCATTGTGGTATTGCCTATTTATTAAAAAAAAATTGTCTGTCAATTAATCCGTCTAATTTTAATTGAAAAAAAAAAACAACAAAGTTAATCAGTGCAGTGCATGAAACGCTAACTAGAGAGTTATAATAATCACTAAACTACTTAGTCGAAGTTGATCTTACTTTATTTTAAAATACCTAACTGTAATGTTTTTTACATTTTAAAGCACGGTAACTATACTGTCCTTTTATTTACCTACTTATGTGATAATAATCTAGTCATTAGTTTTTAATGTGTTCAATGTATTTTTTAAATCACATCCTTCTATAGAAAAGGACATTATTCAAAACCCTAATGCGATTCAATACCAATAAAATTTGTTAAGGTACCTCTTATGAAAAATGTATTTATTTCATGTCTAATTGCACGTAATTTAAAGACTTATAGAAATTAAGATTATTAAGATTTTAAATTAATATTAATAAATTTATTACAAAAAAAAAATGTTTTATTTTAACACCTACAAGGTAAAGTAAGTGTCAGCGCAACAAACATAAACAACACTGCGTGCGTGGCGCCCTACGCGCTTCAGCAACAGTCCATAAAAAAACGATAAGACAAGAAAAACCGGCCAAGTGCGAGTCGGGCTCGCGCACAAAGGGTTCCGTAGCAGCAAATATAATAAACTTATTATGACAGTTTAATCAACCTATCTCAAAAACTATAAGAGATACTTTGATCAAACCAAAAATCGTTGAAAGAGTTAATTAGCATGCATCACCTCTATTTTTTTTAGAATTTTATACCCCGTAGTTATAAAAATAGAGGGGGGGGGACATACTTTTTACGACTTTGAGAGCTGATATCTCAAAAACCGTTCACTTTAAGAAAAATGTTTTTTAGAAAACTTTATATCATTTTAAAAGACCTTTCCATTGATACCCCACACGGGTATGTACATCGAAAAAAAATTTTCATCCCTCAGTTACATGTATGGGGGGCCCCACCCCCAATTCTTTTTTTTACTATTTAGTGTCATAATTTTGTAGCGGTTCATACAACACATATTCCCATCAAATTTCATCACTGTAGTACTTATAGTTTCCGAGTAAATCGGCTGTGACAGACGGACAGACGGACAGACGGACAGACGGACAGACGGACAGACGGACAGACGGACAGACGGACATGACGAAACTATAAGGGTTCCGTTTTTGCCATTTTGGCTACGGAACCCTAAAAAGACGAAATATATTTGCTTGTGTTTGATGGCTCAACTTCCATAACAGACTGTGGCTCATCAACTCTTGCTGCACAAAGTGGGCAACCTGTGACTATAATAGTAGTAGTAGTAGTTAGTTACTAATAAAACTACTAAGGCTGATGAAATATTGTCACTGGCAACATTTTATCTTTAAAAATGTCAAACAATAGGGATGTTTGTAGTATTGTACTAGGTGAAATAAAAAATAACTGTACAGTACCAGCCTCCTTAGGTAAGTGGTAGAAAGTGACAGTTGAGATTTCGGAAAGGTTTTACAGCGTTTTTTGTATGCATATGGAATTACTTCGCCCTCTCTGTCTGAATCTCGAATTCATTTAGGGATTCGATTTTCAGAGCGATCACTATTTGCCTTGTATCTAAGGAAGAAAGTAAAGGATGCACTATGCCGCCATACATACATGACCACAAGTTATTAAGTTTATATGTAAATATAAGGTCACCTCCAAAAGACAGACGAGATTTAAGGGACAAATAAAACATCTTAAATTAATTCGTTTTAGATAACACAACCATATTTTTAAAATGCTAGTTTTCGAGATAGTTGATGTTATGTCGAGTGAATCCGAAGTACTCAGTGCGGTACGGAGGCATGGCATTGATCGTGCCAGACAGTGCATCCGTGTACAAGGACGTCACGTCCAGCAGCTTATGTAAATAATGTGAAAATGACAGAGAGGGTTTAAAAATAAAAATATCACATTTAGTTTGTTAGGAAAAGTAAAAACAGAAACTAGCCTATATTTTTTAGTTTTAATGCTAGGGTCCAATTTTTTCAATATAATTAGATGCCCTATTAAAATTTCGTCTGTCTTTTGGAGGTGACCTTATATAATAAATAATAAATGTATTTATTTCGGACCAGAATAATCCATATTAATTTGTGTTAGTAACAGTCACAGTGTACATTAAAAATAATAATGTTGATTTAGTATCTTTTGAACTTAGGGTTTGAGTCCATAAATATTGGATTTCAGACGTGCCACTTTTATTTATTATGATTGCATAAACAAAATGTTGAAATCGTGTTTCACACCATGTCTCAACTCAATAACGATAAAAAATATAACTGTGACTAGTTCACAGGTATTTTTATTCATTATCACAGCTGTACAGGTATCTTATAGGAACAGTGTGGGCACAACTCTAATCCAGTTAGTATTTTTCTGGGTCTCTCACTGTTCGGTTGTGTTATTTATTATTTTGTGGTTTTTGTGTGATTTCTGTGTTATTTGTGTTTATTATCTCATGTAGATAGGTGCATAAACCAGCAAAATGCCGGTCTTTCACACGAAGATCATTGAGAGTATATTGGAGCCTGTAGCTCAACAGGTAAGTTTGCAATTATTTATAGCTTTTTGGTGTTCTAATTTTCTCGTGTAGGTGTGAGGTTTTAGGATTATTGTTTACTGTGGATGCTGGCTACGTTATCGGGTATTATGTCATCTTTCCGCGGGTTAAGGCGAGGTAAAATTACCATATTTGGTGGAATCGGCCGGCCGTGGCGTTTGCGATAACCTTGCAAGCCTTTCCTAGGGCATAACTTGATTTGACTGCACTTATTCTTAGTCATATCTCGTAAGATGACTGTCCAGCCCCTATGTGAGTGTCATTGACGCTAATGAATTATTTACTGACTTCATTAGAATATTTAATGACTCACCAAAAATCCTATAAATTCGGTCTGTTTCTTGCCATACTGCATTACGCGATTGGTCGAAAAGTTTACCAATTGGAATTATCAAAAAGTATTTTTTTAGACAGGCTATGACACATTTTTTTATTATATTATTAATATTAGTAAATTCCCAACAATACCCTTCTTTATTAATGCTTATTATTATGATGTCTAGTTAGATTTAGAGCTTAGATAAATAAAATATTTGCTAATCAGATTAATTATTAAGTCGTTATGTGAACCATATTTTATGCCTTTGTGATACAGATACATATGTTTTCCACCATTTTATTAGTGTTAGTTCTCACAATAGACGCTTGAAGCAAGAAATGTGGCCCACTTTTTTGTTTACTATTGTCTCCTACTTGAATCACCTTTCACTTTGCTACAAACAGGATAGGATTTGCCATGCTGATATAATTTTAAACCAAAATAATAACAGCTATTACCACAACCTTAGCTTACCTTAGTTGCACTTGAATTTGATTTTTTAAATTGATTTGTTGTTGATGTCCTTACCCGTCCAAATACCAATTATCAAGAAACAATAGAAAACAATTATTACCACTGTCACATTTGACCACTTAGGGTTCAAGGAGTTAAAAATAAATAAATAAAACGATATCATTAAAAATAAAATTTTACTTGAATAAAGTTTTGTAAAATGGAGACTTCAAATTAATAAGAGTTGACCTTAGATTAATAAAACCTAGATAGATAGTCAGTGCACGAAAGGTGAGGCAGTTTTTAGGGAGCCGGCACGGCTTACCCGTAAACGTCACATGAACTGTCAAAGTGAAAAATTGGTAAACACGTCCGACGAATTTTAATTATTAAAACGGTTTATGCTGTGAAAGGGTGTCTAAAATACATCAGAAAAACAAAAGAAAGTGACCAGTGTTACATTTCATAAGTAAGTACTACGATTCGACGCGTATTTTGCTTGAATTTGGCATTCAAAAATTAAATACGGGAATGATACCAGTAACAAGAAAATTTATTTCCCAATTGTTCGCCGTACAAATACACTTCCTTTTTTATGAAATCGAGACTTTTAAGTCGATTTATCTTATTGTTATTAGGTAGGTACTTTGAATTCAATAAATAAGTAAGTACATGATGCGTTTTGTTTTTGTTAATTATAAAATTATTAAAAATGTATTAAAAATTTCCCTACTTTCGGGAAAATCGCCTTCACTGTCTACACTCCCCAACAAAATTGACACTAATGACATAAGGTTTTTGCCTCACTCTTGACGAAGCGTTTGTATGAAGACTATCCATCTAGGTTTTATTAATCTAAGGAGATTACCCATTCTTTCTGTAGAATAATGTTAGGTACATATTATATTGTTAAGTAAACAGTATAATGTTGGTTTTGTATCAATTAAAACTTAAATTGTACTTATCATTTGATACCAATTTAAATAAATAACAATAATTATTCCCTTTATTGACAGAACAGGCCCCAAATATTTAAGAGTCACACTCATCAAACAAAATATAATGTAGAGACAGTTAAATGGTTATTTAAATGGTTGAATTCAATTAAATGGGTTCATTATGCTATTAATTAAAAGCCATTCACCGTGAAATGAAGACATAATTCGTACATGAAGTCATGCCGAGCACAATGGACAATGGGATAACTGAACCGGGGATTATTGGGGTTCAACGTCTTGAGTGATCGGTGACAGGTTTATAAAGTGTTCGGAATAGATCCGGAACACTGGATAGAGATTTTCTAAAATGATCACCCAAGTGATCAAAAATATCCTAATGGACTGTAAGTGACACTTTGGTGTCCATTGATCACCAATGGATAAGAAGTCCACTTTGATCACCTACAACCCTTCTTCTTATTCGTTACGGTCTTGGCAGAGTGGTTGTGGTCACGTTGAGGCGTTGTTCACATCGATTGTAGAGGCGGATACAACTCTCCGCACGATCTCCCTCCAACCTACAACCCTAGGTGATCTCATCTATCGGTGATCAAAGGACACTAAAGTGTCAACTGGAGTCATCATATGTTTTTGCTACTTTAGACCAAACAAGAAATTACAAGAAATGTTAAGGTACAATTTTAAAACAAGCTTGCAATGTCCTACAAAACTTCCATCTGGCAAACCTAAGTATTTCACAGGAGCGCAGTAGCCAAACATGGTGAATAATTGCAAATTTTGCGATCGCTGTTATGCCGCGCTACCCATTGATAAATCATTTCTGCGTCGAGCTTCCTAAAAGCGACTCGATCGCTGCGTTTGGCATTTTTAAGTTTGCGGTATGGAATGTGTGGCTGCTGCGGAAAAGCGGCTAAAACGCCGATCGCCGAAGCTAAAAGCAGCATGTGTGCTTAGAGCTGTTGTCGCCTCAAGTCGGAATACTGGCCGTTACAATCCGGCTGTGTCAGTGTCAAGATAAACGTGTGTTTCTGTTGACATGGGGCTCGAACCAGCGCTCCTTGGATCTCGAAAGGGCCAGTCCGACTAGGGTTGCCAGGTCCTAAAACACAAAAGCCAGACTCTGTGCTTCATTTGGCCGGACATTTTACCCTAAAAGCCGGACATGTCACGGGGGGTGCAATTAGTGACATAGCTTACGAGTGAATTCTATCATCATCGGTTGCCCAACATCCTGATGCGTGCGCTTAATATTATTCTGTAGCTCGACTTTCGCCTGGCGCGGCAACCACATTAAAAGCCTAACAAAAGCCGGGCAGGCCGAACAAGACAATTTTGGCCGGACACGACCGTAAAAAGCCAAACTGAACATCGGCTTTGGCCGGACACCTGGCAACCCTAAGTCCGACACCATTGGGCTATTGGTTTGCTGAACCAAGTTGGCGGAAGACTGGCGGTTCCATCCCGACTGTGCCAGTGCCGTGTGAGCCGTGGCTGAAGTTTGGCAAACTGGCGGCTCGCGAGTCTGCGGACCATCAGTGTCACGGCCAGCCGTTAGTCACAGTGTAATGCTCTGTAATGTGGGAAAATATTGCTTAAATAACACGGAGATACATGTGAATGTGTTTTACACACCTTGTAGCTTATTACTGGGAAGTAAGGTTCAAAACTAAATAGAATTGTATCTGTTCCTGTAAGCCTGACTGTATCCAATGTAGGTTTTCCTGGGTGTAATGAATACTACGGGTAGTAAACACGCAACTATTGTTCTGTTTATGTGCTTTCACGTGATTGTTAAAAAGAGGGGTGTTCACATCACATGGAAAAAGTCCTCCGCCTGGACATGAGCTCCCCTGGCCTACCTGGAAGTCTTTAAATAGACTTCGGACGCAGGTCGGCCGTAGTAAGGACAATCTGTTCAGGTGGGGATTCTTGGATGGCTCAAACTTGGAGTGCACGTGTGGTTTTGTTCCCCAGTCGACGAAGCACATGATGCGTGCCCAAACAACTGCACGCAGGAAGATTTAATGAAGGCTACTGACAACGCCATTCTTGTGGCGGAGTTTTGGGCTGACGCTAAAGTCCTCATCCTCAATGACTATAAATTGACACCATTATTGTAGGTCATTATTAGAGTTCTATAAAATTGGCATTGAGACCTTAATTGCTCATAAATTCTCAGAACCGCATTCATTTTTAAGGAAAATAAAATATGATTCATTCACGCAAGCTATTAGAACTGCTGTAAGCTGTTTTGGCAGTTCCGAAAACATTAAGCTTCACTGTCTCGTAATTCAATTAATTACGCCACTGGCTTACCCCAATTGTTTTTAAAGCTCAGCCCATTATTTGTCTCTAATGGTCACACAGTCGTGTATGTTGAGGCAAGGTCAATAGAGAGTTATGCCGTGTAACTAACTGCCATTAGACATGGTCAGTTGACACTGGCGAGCTACCATCAACCCACACGGTTCCATTTTGAAAGCTGTGACGCTAAACTTTTATTGGCTACTCGTTATTATTACGAACCACCAGTGTACCCTCTAGCTCTAGGTTCCTACGGTAGCTGAAAAAGTTTCCGTCTATCTAAACCAGTAGTTCTTAACCGGTGGTCCGCGGACCACTGGTGGTCCCTGAAGGTATTCCAAGTGGTCCACGAAGACATCGTAACGTGACGTGATGAGTCGAGTCAACACAATGCAAACGGCGCACAGTGGGCGAGAAATCGATCTCCCCTTTCATAGGATTTCGAAAAAAAAAAGTGGTCCCTGACAAGACAGAAACGGTCCCTCGTGATTTAAAGGTTAAGAACCACTGATCTAAACTAACTAAACCACTACGAGGCCAAGTATTTATGTAGTTTCGTGTTTGCAAATACATACTAACATTTTCATTAGTTATCTTGCATCAGCAGCACAGCATTTTGACTTCTATCACTCAGCAAAATTCTTTGTCTGTATCAAAAAATGGATTCATGAAATACATCACTATCCCCTATCCTTAAGCTAAAAGTGACTGAGTTGTTCCGCCACTTCTTCTCAGCCCTTAATTATGTTGTCCCGAAGTAGTGGTAGGGCAAGCTATACATATTCCGATGGCACACTAATTCACTTAATCTCAGTTAAAAGTGATAAAGCCCAGTTCCATCAGATTGACTACAGTTCTATACATAGCTAGGTAATTAGGGCAGGTGGGCAGCCTCGCAGCATCCGCCTGGTTGTGAAATGTCTTGCTATTTTTAAAGACGACATCGA